TTACCGGATTTTCAACTTTACAACAAGTAATAAGTTTAATGAATACTTACTGGAACTTTTGTTTTTATGATCTTTGATTTACAAGTTGTCTGCCATATTCTTCTTGAAATGTCCCCGATGAGGGTATTAGCCAGGTCCAATAAGAACCTTTTTTCTGATTTATGCCTGCGAAATCCCGTTCTAACCAACTTGGCAGTCTGGCAGTCTGGCAGTCCTGGCATTCCTAGTAGTCCACTTCCCTGGTTTCTAAACGCTTTGGCCATTAGAGCACAAGCTGCGCTAATAAAAATTAATGCGCCCAACGCTCGGTGGCCCCAGTTTCCACTTCTGCCGTCACCCAGGGATTCCACAGTTTTGTGGATTACCAAACGGTCAGGTGTTGGGTTGGGGTGGCCATACCTGTCCTGGTGTGGACTCTGCCCCAGTCACTCAACTCGTTATGCAATTTCCCTGCATTGTTTTTCCCTCAGTAAAATGTGCACCGCTCACCCTTCGTCCTTTGTGCTCTGTTGCCAATTTATTCGCACTTATGCACGTGCATACAGCCACACACATACATACTCACACTCACACTCACAAGGACAGTTGGAGGCTTCACACATGATCCTGGCACGTTGTTGGCCGAATCAATTTCATGGCTCGTTCGTCCACGCCCAAGCCACCCACTGAACCACCCAACCACCAGTGGCGTAGCGTGCCTTGTCGGGGCCCCGTATAAAAAATTTTTTGGAGGCCCTTATATGGAGGAAAAGATTTTTCACAAAAGAAAACAAGAAAGGAAGCTAGCTTCGGCAAACCGAAGGTTTTATACCCTTGCAGTCATCAAATATGTCGAACAAAATACATAACGGCTAAACAACATCGAAGCTAAGATGATTTTTCTATTCATTTTCTATATTTTCGACTATAGATCATATGGGAGCTATATGATATAGTTGTCCGATTTTGATCAAATTTAATTCGTAATTCAAGAGTCGTAAGAAAACTCTATACTCCAAAAATCATACTTGTCTGATGAAAAACAATGATGTTATAATTTTATTTCCGCTATTTCTATATAGATTTTTCGATCTTTCCTATGGGAGCTATTAGATATAGTTGTCCGATTTTTATGAAACTTTTTTATCAAAATAAGAGTTTTTAAAAACTTGATATTTAAAAAATCATGCTCGTGGGATAGAAAACAACGATGTTATCAATTTATTTCCATTAATTCTATATATAATTTTCGATCGCTCCTATGACAGCTATATGATAGAGTTATCCGATTTTGATCAAATTTAATCCGAAATTTAATAACAGTTAGAAAACGCCATCTTGAAGAAATCAAGTCGATCTGATCAAAAACAACGGTCTGAGAATTTTTTATTTCATTCTCTCGTATGGGAGCTATCCGATATAGTCGGCCGATCCGGCCTGTTCCGACTTATAATACCGCGCGCAATAACTACACACCTTTTGGGAAAGTTTCAGCAAGATTGCTTTAAAACTGAGAGACTAGTTTGCGTAGAAACGGACAGACGTACAGACGTTTTCCGATTCTGCTCGTGATGCTGATCAAGAATATATATACTTTATGGGGTCTGAGGTGTCTCCTTCACTGCGTTGCAAACTTCTGACTCAAAATTATAATACCCTTTTGCTCTGCAAGGGTATAAAAAATATTGTGAGAAGAAATATTTATTTATCACATTATATACCCATTTTACAAATAAAAATCAAATTTTAAATATTCACTCTTACACACTATGGGGGCCCCCCGTGGCCCGGAGGCCCCGTATAATTGATACGGCATATACGGCGGTAGCTACGCCCCTGCCAACCACCCAACTGCCGAACCACCCAACGCAGCCCCTCGCTTTGATGGCTTTTGCAATTTGCTCGTTTTCTTGTGTCAACAATGGTGGCAGTGGCAGTGGCGAGTGGCAGTGGCAGTGGCGAGTGGCCAGTGGGTGGTGCTACCTTTCGCCGGCCAAGCTGTTGCCCAAGTAGGAACAATTAAAATGATTTTTCTGGCATCCGTTTGGCACTGCACTTTATCAATGTGCCCCTCGTTTCTGCTTCCCAAATGTCAACTGCCAAGGACGAAATGTTGTTTGCTCTCGTTCGCTGGCCAGAACCGAAGGCACAGGTGCACTTTGAAAAACTACTTTAATTCCCCTTCAAGATATTACGTATTTTGTATAAAAATCACTATTATTTAAATTAAGAAAATGTTACCAATAATATACAAGATTTTCTTCTTATCCAACTTTTCGTGTATTTAAAGAGCTGTTCATAATCCCGAACAAAACAGGTCAGATGTAACGATTGAAATAGTGTGGAAATTGAATTGAACTTTGACCCGTTTTTATTTGTGTTGATGGTAGCGAACAGAAGTCCTGTTCTCGTATGCATGCCGAATGAGGGGCACTACTATACTATACTTCAATCGCCAGTCGAGCAACCTGTCCACCGGTGTCGAACTTGTCCATTTACTGATTGATTTACAATTGTGTGTCGTGCATGGTTTAGTCATAAATTACTCGGTCTGATGAACACAATTATTGGGAGCTGTCGAAGGGAGTTGCGAAGAAGCGTTTTCACGTAGAAAGGGCTAAGAAAATTAAATGCAAGAACCTAAATCTTAGAATTTAATCAGCAAATATTTAAAAGCAACTTTTGTTTTGGCTTTCCCCTTGTGACGTGTTGTTTATTAGAACTGTTTTAAAACGAATATTAACACAATACTGATGTATTCAAACCCTTTATTATCCCCGATCAGCTCCGGCTGAGTTGCTCGCAAGCCACAAGACTACTTTAACTATCCCTCAACTCAACTGCAAACAAGTTGCAATCCAAACAAGGAGATTATTCAGTCAGCCCATTCAAGGTCCTCTCCACACATCAAGTATATGAAGCGTTTTCATGTTTTTGGCTTCCTTTCCTTAAGCTTTGGCTGCCTTTTTGTTTGTGTTCAGTTCGGCAGCCCACATTTTTGAGTTGATTATTCTGTGAGCGCCCAGAAAGTTGCCGGCAAAGTTTTCCCGAACAGCATCAAAACAAGGCAAAGGCGAAGGCGAAGGCGGACCCTTAAAGCCATGTGTGTAAGCCATATATTAATAATAAGTCTGTCCCAACAACGCCGGCAAACACATTGGAGTGCAGATGTGGTTCTTTTGGTTTCGCAGAGAAGGTACCATACAACAGATATACAATTCATTTGGTTTTATACGTCTGTTGTTCTTTTGCCAATTGTCGTTTTGTGAATTTCTGTTTTTCAGTTCGCTTTTTGTTAAGTCTACAAGTAGAAAGCGTTGCTAGATTTCCCTGGAGCTTCCATGCCATTGCCACATTCCCAGCACCGCCCCTTGTTGGCTAATATGTTGCACGTGCCACGCCCATGTCATGCCTTATTTAGCCTGTGCATTGCCCAAATGCCTTTGGCACATGCCAAGTCTGGTCTTGCATCTCGCCATCATCTGCATCTGCATCTCCATCTGCTGCAATTTGCCCCAAAACCATGGGGCAGCAGTGGGGGAGTTCGCAATCAGGGAGGTGTGGCACTGCTGCAACTGCCATCGCATTTTGCATGGTTCGTTAAGCATTCCGTACAATAAACAGCAGCCAAGATGAGGGTATGGAAAGTATAGTCAGTCTTGGCATATCAAATCATAAACCAATTGAGTTAACGGATGTACTATATTATGTAGGATAACTTAAGAACTCGAATCGATAGGAGTAAAATAATCGTTGTATTTCTCGAATTAATTTTGATTTCAGGTTTCCATTATACTTATTTAAAAATAAATCCAAACTACAAACCGCAGTAGCTTAGACTTCTAACAAATATAAAAATGAATATTCAGAAATACTCGTAGCTTAAAAAATATTTAAATATATTCCAGAAAAATAGATCAAAATGGAATATGTGTGGCAAGTGTATGCTGATGATTTGTTGTTGCAGTTGCCTAGGAAAAGTTTCGGAATGTTGTACATATATAAATTTTCATATCAAAGTACTTGGGAGCAAAAACTTGCCACTGAACTTTCTGCCAGTCAGTCTGTCGCTCAGTTATTCAGCCAGCCAGCCAGTCTAGCCCCAGGAAAAGTCCGTGGATATATGCACGTATACTATATAGTCCCCGCTCGACCCTCTTTCAGTATCCAGCACACTGGATTGTTTTTCGCTGGCTCGCAGAACGAGCTTCTAATATCGAGACGCATATTGATGATGCAGCCCGAATTGGATTTCGCTTTCGGAATTTCTATTTCGCCTTTGTTACTTCCGACGCCAACTGATGCGATGCGATTGCAGAGAGCATTTCGCTGTTCCAACACTGGTGGGGTGAAAAATTGAATGGGGTAGGAGGAGATTTTTATTCGGTTAAATAATAATATCAAGGAATAAATACTTCTTGATAAAACGCAGGCTAATCTCAACGTGCAATCAGAACTGGCAATATTTTGTTAGCTTATCAATGTGACTTAAAAATATATTCAAATAGGAAAAATGAATTGTTGAAAATTTAAAGTAAACCCCATTTTTATTGATCGTATAAGCGTTCCTCAATAAATAGTGCCACGACTGTCATGCCAATCGCCATCCATTTGAGTGGTAGAGATTTCAAATTTTGCAGTATTTTGTTAGCTTATAAAAGTGACTTAAAATTATATTCAAATAGGAAAAATGAATTGTGGAAAATTTTAAGTAAACCCATTTTTGTTGATCAAATCAGCGTGCCTCAATAAATAATGCCACGACTGTCATGCCAATCGCCGTCCATTTGAGTGGCAGAGATTTCAAATTTTGCCTCACTCAGCCCAAACTGCACATTCAAACGAGACACAAAAGACATAAGGCGGCTAAATAGCTGCGGTTGCATTTTATCTGTTATTGTTTGTTTTAGTCCCCTGAACATTTGAACAATAAGTTGGCACCATGAACATGACAAGTAAATTTATCCATGAGCTACAATCAAACTTCTATATTCATGTTTCTATCGGTTTTTGTTTTCCAGGCTCCATCATGTTCCATGTGCGGCGTCGTCCGGCGGACTCGCAGCCGAGGAGGCGGAAGAAAAAGCCCCTGGGAGCGGCTAACGGGGCCAATCACATCTCCGGCGATCGAGAGGGTCCCGTCCTGGTGGAGGTGACGCACAGCGGCGACGGCGGACGGCGGATCAAGCTGGGCAGCGATCCCGTGGAGGTGGGATCCGCGAACACCAACTGCCTGCAGCTCTTCGGACCCTCGATCCAGCCGAGGCACTGCCTCATCTCGCTGCTGGAGGGCGTCTGCACCGTCACCCCGCTGCACACCGATGCCCTGACCTTCGTCAATGGCCACCACATCAGTCAGCCGACCATTCTGCATGTAAGTTTAAGGCTATTCAAGAAAGGAACTCAAGAAAGGCAATCAAGAAAGGGAGACATTCAAGTAAAAATTTACTTGAGCAGAACCACAACCTCTGGGAATTGGGAAGCTCGACGCATAAATATTTGGATGACACAAAAAAAAGCGATGTTTCCATAGGAACAGACATCTTAGCAACTCGCAAATTTTGAAATCACATCTCAAATTCCCCAGGGCATTTGCATGTCTGCTGTAGGGGTGACCTTTCGTCTATCTCCTCCATTAACTAATTGCGCATAATTCGTTTTAATTAGTTGAATTTTCCGTGCAAGTCACCCGGGGCGTATGCTTAATTTGACGGCAGCAGGCAATGCTGGCAGGAAAAGTTCTGCCGACGACCTTGACCCGGTTGAAGTTTAAAGGGTTTTAAAAACTGCCAAGTTCCATTCCGCAGCCATGTGTCCCTCTTTTCCGACTGTCTGAGAAGTCCAAGCCAATAATCATCCCGGCTTAGTGGAGCGTTCGAAGGGACAACTTTCGAATCGGCTCACCAGAAAGATAAATGAGCTTTGAAATTGATTTACGCTTTAAGGTTGAGCAAAGTCACACCAAATTGAAAGCTAAAATTTGTCAATAATTACTGTGATTACAAGAAAATACCTTCATGTTTACATTGATCTCAGAAAATGCATTATTATTTTTCAATTGAATCGAAACTATATACTATCTAGTATACTTACAAATGATTAGTGATATCCGAAGTAAATGAAACTAATTATACATTTAGAATACTATTTAGTATACTTTGAAATGATTAGTGATATCCGAAGTTAATCAAACTAATTAAACATTTAGAATTTACTTTTTTGAGTGTCTGTTTCGTAATGCGATTCTCCGAATTTCGCAGCACACATTTCCCAACCGAAAGGCGCATTGAGTTCGAATTTTCAATTCCCATTCATGGGCTCTCGAAGTTCATTATCAGCTTTGGGTTTGAGTTGGAAAGGCAATAAACCTGGTACCTTTACCTGTACCTATGAATGTGCCAGGGTGAATACATCCCACGTGCTTTGAGTCGCCGCTGATTTATCTTTTGTTTTGACAACTTTTCGACACACAACGGAAACACAAACAGAACGCCAGCGACAAGTACAACAACTGGGGAAATGAATCAAATTGGCTTTTGGCGTTCTCACGCATTAGCAGGAAAGTCAGAGGAATAAAATTTGCGCTTTGTGTGTGCTTTTTTCTGTTGTTTTTGACTTTCCGCTTGATAAATTTGAAACCAAATAAACAGGGAAAACTTCTGCTTTCCCCCTATCTCCTGAATAAGACTGCAGAGATAAGCTCCCAACTCGGCAATAACCTCAAACTGCCTTTGGGGAATTTCGATGGGAACATGACGATAAATATATATTTTTTATATAAATCTAACAAAATGTTTATTTAACGTTTTCTGTCATGCTCTTTGTATGTTTTTTTTTTATTATTGCATGAAATTAATGTTATTTTTTCAATTGGCCAATTGGGGTTGGCTGTGGTTCGATGAACCTGAACAAAAAATAATGCAAACCGAATTCTCTCTCTGGGCTGTGTGTGTTAAAGATTTGTTCACTGAGCTAATCTGAATCTGAACTAGGGGGAAGCACAAACAAACGCAGAACGAGATAGCCAGTAACGAAAACATAAAAAAATTAACGCAATCGATTCGAATCTTGCCCCAGAGAGGGGCGTCTCTGTTTGCCAGTTTAGATTTCAAAACGCCCCGAAAATACTTGAACACCAATCGCTGACTCAGTGCTCCAGAATCTGTCACTCAGTGAGCAGCTTCATCCTCCCTGGCAGTGTAAATATTTAAGTAATAGCCACATTTAATTATCGTTATTATATCACTTAAACGGCTTTAAACACATTAACCCTCGTCACATCGCCTGCAAGTGTAATTAATTCATATGTGCCATCCGCAGAACGGTTCGGTCGTAATGTTTGGACGGGTGGCCTCGTACCGCTTCCTCGACTCCCCCACCGATGGGCGTTACAACCTGGCCCTGTCGCAATCCCAACTGGACTCGGCCTGCCTCTACGAAAGGTGAGTAAGCCGGCCGACATGATATGTCTGTCCCGATTTAGTGAAAATATTTATGCTACGCCAGCGCTTTATCTGCCAAATGCTTGTCAGCAACAGCCATGTGATTGTTTTCATTTGTGTTTTCCTTTAATTTGCAATGATTGAGCTCGATAAATCACAGTGAACCAATTTAATTGGAGTGTACACAGGCCCAGTGAAATGCAAAAAAGGGTTGTTAAAGTTAAAAGTCTGGTCTCGACATACTATTTTTATTTTAATTTGAAAATACTTGTACAAGCAATGAAATAAGAGTTTAAATTTGATGTAGTATTGTGGCAATGTCATGTAAATTTCTAAAATATTAATATTTGTAGAACAAAAAGTATCAAAATAAATTAGAAACAAGATAGGTGTCGGATTAGCCATGCCAAATGGCTACAAGCCCACTTTTCTGTCTAAAGGTCAGACTCTGTATTCTCCCTTTGAATTGCCAAGTGAATGTAGGGCTTTATAATTTCCATATATAGCTGCCAGCAGCATATTTAAAACAATTTAATTCACCTTAGGTGAGACATTTAAAATATTTGAAATTAATGCGAGGTGTTTCTTTTTGTACGCTGCTCGTTTATTCATGTGTTATTTGTGTATGTTCTGTTTTATTTACACGCCTTATTGCGATGTTCGTTTATGTTTCGTTACGTGTTGTTTGTTTTTATTGTTTGTGTGAAACATTAATCTCATGCACTCACCAAACCGAACAAAATTACCCAACAAATATGCAAAACAATTTGCACAAACCACACACTCACCTGAACATCACCGCCACCCGACCCACCGACCCGCCGACCCACCGACTCAACGATGCCAACACCTCGTGGACAGCCGCTCACCGACGTCCCCGGGATCCTGGAACGACGAGGATGGAGCGCTCAGCTCGGTTGGTATTCCACAGAAGCGCATTCCCGATTGCTTTCTCTACTACTGTACGAAATGCTAACCACTTTGCAGACCCACAAAAGCGACTACGACCACCACCACCACCAATCGAACCAATCCAGTGCCTACCACAACAACAACAACAACAACTCCAGTGACCATCCCCTGAGCAGCACGCTGAGGGACGTGGTGGACAGCAAGGCTGGACAGGATCAGGTGGCCAACTCCGGCAACTACGACGGCCAGAGCCTGGAGGGGAACCTGGAGAACGAGACCAAGTCGATCTCCAGCATGAAGTCAGGTGGTTCCAACAGCCAAGATCGGTAAGACTCAACTTCGATCCATCCATCCATCCATCTATAAACTCTGAACTAAACATTCTGTCTTTGAGGTAAACAGGAAAGCCAACACAAATCCCCACACATAACATAAAGCAATGCATAATTGTGTTCACTCACTGTCCGATTAACTTTTAATTTCGTTCGATATTTTGTGTGCGCTTTAACTTATGCTAAATTATACTTTACTTTGCCATTATCTCACTACTGTTCTATTATTCTGCTTTTCTCGTTTCTCTGTCGTACTGTGTGTTTCACTAATCGATTAACCTTTTCCGAAACGCAGGTCACCCAAAATGCCCGGCTCTGGTCTTTTGGCCGGAGGTGGCAGCGGTTCCGGCGAGGCCCAGGGACAGGAGCCCATCCTGCCGGCTGTCCTGGAGTTCCCCGAAACCCACCAGGAACTCTTTCTGCGTCACATTATCAGCGAGCTGGACGTGAACGTTCCGCACTTTAAGCTGGCACCCGTCTACTCGCTCTACCTGTGTGCCAGGTGGGTAATTTACTGGGCCGGGGAGCCCTGAAATGTTGCGGAGCATGATGAGAACCCGGGGCTGCGCTTGCTTGGCTTTAATTGTCGTATTAATGTTTTGCTGTACTTGTTTTATTAGAACTATAAACTTGCAACGCTTTCAGTTTAGAGTGGGTGGGTCTGCTAGTTATCATTTTTTGAGAGTCCAATCCAAACAAAAATATTCAGTTTACCTAGTTACCTTTAACATGGGAATGTCGATGTTGGCAGGCACATATGAGTGTCACAAGATACGTAATCAATGTCACAAACACGCATATTTCACTAATTACATAACATCCAGGGATAACAAGATAATCAAAGAAAATAACACTTGTAATCCGTTTATAAATCCATTAGGTGCGATTAAATTATTAGCTTTAAACCATGTCGTTGTGGACATAGCCTATTTCCTACATTGATTAGGAGTCGGGTGACATGGTTAATTTGTCTTCAATTAGTAGAACAGATTTATGCAGGAGATAACCTGCTTCACTTGACCCTCAACCCCATTGGTCTACTGTGTGCCAGATCCCAACAGCAATCTGTCCTTCGGTAAATCCATTTATACTTCAATTCCAAAATCAGAGCTCCGTTCAACAAGACCCAACGGACACGGACGAATTACAGGCGGACGGAGACCAGCCAGCAGAGCTGACAAATGTCCAGACACAAAGTGGTTCGACATGTTCCAGAAGGCAGTCGCTCCACATCCTCAGACCCCTCGAGCAGAAGCTCCAAGGCAGCAGCCAGAATCAACAATTCATTATCAATTATGATGATTTATCTTGGCCGCTGACCCAATTTGTGAGCTATTAATATTAATGTCCTCTGACAGCGGACATGTGGAGTGTGGAGGGCAGAGAGGGGGAAATGGCCAGGCTGATGAAACAGCAGGAGCAGGAAACCAGTCAACCAACCAACCAGCGAACCATTTGGGGAAAGGGAACTTTGACATTTGACGGGCGTGAAAATCAATAAACGGAAACGGGGTCACGGGATCTTCAACGCAGGCTGATTAATCCGAACTGAACCGACACTTCTCCACAGGTATCGGGCCTCCACCCACTATCGCCCGGAGCTGCAGCCCACGGAGCGCGCCCACAAGCTCACCATGTTTCTGCACCACGTGGCCAACCTGGTCTACAGCGTGGTCCAGGAGCAGTACACGGACCCCCGCATCCTGGCCTTCTGGATGGCCAACAGCTCGGAGTTCCTGCACTTCCTCAAGTCGGACCGCCACATCAGCGCCTTCAGCGTTCAGGCCCAGGAGGTGTTGGCCGAGGCCGTGCAGACCGCGTTCCGCAACCTGGTCAACTGCTTCCGGCTGGAGCTCTCGCAGACCCTCAACCAGTTCCTCTCCGAGAACATTGACCACGACTCCGCCGCCGGTCTCGTGCTCACGGTCCTGGGATCTGCGATGGCCCTCCTCCGCCGCTGTCGCGTCAACGCCGCCCTGACCATCCAGTTGTTCTCCCAGCTGTTCCACTACATCAATGTCATATGTTTCAATACGGTGAGCGGCCTACGAATGGCCAGTATTTATGCTTAGTGGTGTCAACTGATTTTTAAACTAAGAGTAAATCGATGAAAATTAGTGTAAAACATAAAAGAATTTTTAACTTTCATCTAATAGTCATTCTGGAATTAACTTTCGATACTTCCATACAACATTTGAAAGATAATGTGATGTGATTTTTTTTTTTTTTTTTTTTTTTTCTCTAAGTTATTAATATTATTGATTTAAAATTCTACATAATTTTTTAATGTTTAGATGCTGATAATAATTGGCTAATTACTTTTTAGTTGTTCAATAAATGAGATTCAGATTTAAAACCCCTATCAACAGCACCATTAAAGAAAGTTGGCACCACTTGTCTTCCCGCATCCTCCTCCCAGTTTACTAATTTCTCTACCCCCTTTCACCAGATTGTGGCCAACTCCCACATGTGCACAGCGGACTGGGGCAAGGTGATGACGGAGCGACTGCAGCTGCTGGAGCTGTGGGCAGAGCGGCAGGGACTGGAACTGGCGGCGGACTGCCACCTGGCCAAGATCAACCAGTGCGCGCAGTTCCTGCAGGCACCCAAGTCGTCCGCGGAGGAGATCCAGCGACTGGCCTGCTCCTGCTTCCGGCTGAACTCGCTGCAGATGGCCGCGCTGCTGCAGCTGGAGAAGCTGCCCCGCAACCTGGTGGACACGGCCATCCGGATGGCGGAGTCGGTGGCCGACGAGCTGACCCGTGCCGACGGACGGGAGGTTCGTCTGGAGGAATCGCCCGAGCTGCACTTGGCGCTCCTGCTCCCCGACGACGGCTTCAGCTGCGATGTGGTGAGAGGCATCCCCACCGGCCTGGTCGACTTCCTTAATCCGCTGCAGCAGCAGGGCATGTGTCGCCTGGCGGCCCAGCCCACCTCGATTGGCCTCTGGACGGTCTACATGCACCAGTTCAACGTGAGTGGTTCGGGGACTGTGGATCCCATCCAGATTTACTTACAATACGGTTCGTTGCAGGCCCGCAGCTCAAGTGCCATGTCGAACAAGCTGCCGCAGCCGGAGTTGCAGGTGATCAAGCTGCACAAGAACAGCAACGGCATGGGATTGTCCATCGTGGCGGCCAAGGGCGCTGGCCAGGAGAAGCTGGGCATCTACATCAAGAGCGTGGTTCCCGGCGGAGCGGCGGACGCGGACGGACGCCTGCAAGCCGGCGACCAGCTGCTGCGCGTGGATGGCCAGAGCCTGATTGGCATCACGCAGGAGAGGTAAGGATGTCTATTGAAACACCATCAAGCATTCGATTAACTTCTGGGATTGCAGGGCCGCCGATTACCTGGTGCGAACTGGACCCGTGGTCAGTTTGGAGGTGGCCAAGCAGGGCGCCATCTACCACGGGCTGGCCACGCTGCTGCAGCAGCCCAGTCCGGTCATCCAGCGGGGTGAGTAGCTCCCGACGGAGCGCCCTTTTTCCACACACATACATATCAATACAGACACACACATTAGAGCGACTCCAGGTGGTGGGTAGCTGCGCTAAGAACCCTCGACTCACTCACTCATCCAAGACACACTCCCCACTCGCCACTCTCCACTCTCCACTCTGCTCTACCGTTCTCACGTTGTGTAAGCTAACCAAGTAACGAACCCATCCCCCATGCTGCTCCGCTCGCTCGATCGCTAGAAGCCTCCCCCAGCAACTTCCTGCAGCACCCGAGTGCTGGCCAGCAGCGTCGCCACTCCTCGTTCCAGCAGCAGGCGCGCTACTACAGCAACTCCATCTCGGACGACAGTCTCAACAGGAGTCGTCGTGAGTCATTCGCCTGCATGCGCGCATCCTCGCCGCCGGTGCGCCGCCTGAGTGCCTCGTGCCTGCAGGAGGAGCTGTGCGCCCTGGGCCACCAGCTGCACATCGATCCGCGGTACCGGGACACGCGGCCCATCGCCCGCTCCGCGAGCAGTCTGTACCTGGGCAACGACCAGGGCGGCTACTACCATCCGCCGCCGATTGCGCCCTCGGTCACCCACTTTAGCCCGATGCGACCGCTGCGAAGGACTCCGCCGCCCTCCATCTACATCGAGGAGTACCAGGACGAGCCGGCCAAGGATTCGCAGGAGTCGTTCGGCAACTTCGCCACCTACAGCGACGCCCACCAGCCGCTGAACGAGGAGGGCATTGCCTCCATGGCCCACTCGGACGAGATCCCGTTCATCGACGACGAGGAGGAGGAGAAGCAGCAGCAGCAGCAGCGACCCTGCATGTCGGTCACCGCCTCCTCCAGTTGCTCCGCCACCACGAAGCGAAATCCCGCGGCGGGGTATCGGAAGACAGTCAGCTTCGATCTGGAGCAGACGGCTCCACCGGAGCCAGGAGCCACTGGCATCGACAGGAAGTACCACACCCACGACGCCATCAGCCACTTTGCGGCCAGCGCCTCCTCCACGGAGTCCCTGATGGCGGAGCAGTCCGAGAGGATTCCCCTGATTCAGAAGATCCGCCGCGAGCTGAACAGCAAGAGGGCGACCAACTGCTCCGCGGACGGCTTCAGCTCCGGCGGTTCCGGGTCGAACAGCCAGCGCTCCTCCAGCGAGTCCATCGAGCGGATGCCGCTGCTCCGGCAGAACCAGAACCAGTCGCCCTGCCAGCGGCAACTGAACACCCAGCGCTCGCACAAAAGGTCAGGAGCCGGGCAGGTGGCCCTGGGCCAGGCTGCCCCAATAGTCAGCATCCAAGTTCCTAGTGTGTGTGAAATCGAAAGTTCCTCCACCCGTTCTCCTACTACTGTAAATACAAGCAATCGATATTGTGCCAGCACCACCTCAAATACAAATGCAAATACAAGAGCAACAACCAATACCAAATCCAAAACCAACACCACTCCCACCACCAGCACCACTGTTCCTGCACGGGCCAGCAGCCAGGTGAACCTCAGTAGTCCGCGCTTCCTGCTGCCGCTGGGCCAGGGGAAGGTCCGCGAGATGGCGGAGTACTTCGACGCCCACAAGGACTTCCCGCCCGGCATCAACAAGTCCCGCTCGACGTCGGCCCTCGACGATCCGGGCGGCCAGCCGAGTGGCAAGCTCTCCCAGGCGGAGCAGGGCCACATCCTCAGGCAGCTGAAGGAGTGGAGTCTGCACGGCAGCGCCGGCAAGGACATCGACGAAGCGGAAGCGGAAAGACAGGGATGTGAGTGCCCTTGCTGCGGCCATTGCAGGGGAAGGAATCCCGCGGCAGAGCCACACCAGGGGATGAAGGAGGAGCAGCAGCAGCAACGGGCATCTGCCACCTTCAGGTGCTACGACAGTTGCCAGGACGACGAGGCGGAGTTGGGCAAACAGCAGCCGGAACTGTCCCGCATCGCCGCCTGCCGTCGGAGTGTCATGTGCAGCAATCGCCAGGCACACAGTGTGCGGCAGCTGAAGCGCAGCAAGCAGCAGAAGCATGTGCAGCAGCCCAAGGCCAAGCCACCGAGCTCACATCCCCGCCAGCGCCATGGCCATCACCATCGTAGCCATCACCATCACTGTCACAAGCAGCCACGCCCCCGGGCGCCTGCTTCCCCGCCTTCCACGGCCAAATTGCTCCTGTCGCTGGCAAGTGGCAGCAGCAACATGAAGAACAACAGCAGCAATAGCAGCAGCAGCAATGTGCGGAGCTCAAAGAGCTGTCCAAATTGCGGGGATGCCACCGATGCAACGGACTGCTGCTCGTGCAGCTGCAGCTGCAGCGAGGTCGAGTCCTGCTCCTCGGCGGGCGAGTCCTCCTCCAGCTGTTGTGCTGCCCACTGCGATGTACTCGAGGTTCGTGGCCATTCCGTTGGCGGTGGTGGTGGTGATGATGGTGGTGATGACGATGACGCTGGGGGCGATGCAAATGCTGTGCTGCGCTGTGCCAACATGCCATTGCCCAGCTCGACAAGGAGCACAAGGAGCACATCGACAACAGTGTGGCCGACACACAGATGATGACAACCCAACCAAGCTGCACCGAGGTTCATGTTGTTCCCCCCGTTGTCGTTGTTCTTCATTAGCCTTTGGTTTGCCTGCTATTATAAATAGATTTGTGTGGCTGCTTTCTTAGATCTTCCTTTGTTTGTTGTCATTATGGTTAATTAGGTCTATTCCAGCCACGATTCTTCAGTTGAAATGAACACATTAAGTTAAATAGCTTTGGTTTTTATTCAACGCCGAATAAGTTGATTTTCCTCCTGCAGAAGAGCATTGCTTGCTTAATCCAATTACCGGATTCTCGCATCGTTTTTTTTTTTTTTGTATTTTAATTTCCAGGCCTTTCTGCATCCACTTATGTCCTTTATATTATATTTAATTTGATTGCAGCTGCGTTGCCCTTTTCATTGTTGAACTTTTCTCATTTCCCTTTGAATTAAATATTTATAGTAAAAGGACGCGAAAATGGAAAACTCTTTCTGTTTCTCGTTTCTGTACATGTTTGTGTGTGTAAATAGAGCTTTATTGTTTCACCCTCTGGCTTTTAATCCTCCATTTGAATTTAATATTTGTTGTAGCTAGTGTAATTACGTATGCATTTATTAATAACATATTAATCACACTTGGCATTTGCACACTTCGATAAGTTTACTAAAATGTCAATCTGTCTATCCATCCGATTTCTCCCCCTCCACGCGCACCAATCAACCTTAATTCCACCTTAAACCCCCAAATATGCACTCCAATCGCTGACGTTGATGATGATGTGGATGATGATGTGGTGGTGCTGCTGGGATACGGAAACCACAGGTAATCGACGTATGTCCGAACGCGATCTGACGCGGATGGGCGGCGCCGAGTCGACCAAATCCCTGGGTCCACTGATTGCGAACAGCCATCCGAATCACAGCCTCAGTCTTAGCCAGCATCTGAACAACAGCCACAACAACAACACTCTAGGCAACAGTAGCAACAGCAGTAGCAACATCATCAATCCCCTAGCTGCACACCTGCCCAACAGCAAATCGGTGCCGGCTCTGCATCACCACTCGGGATCGGGTACCATATGTAAGTGAACTGCACACCCCCAATGCACAACCCCATCCCCCCTGCCCCCCCTGTAATCGGAGCACAATCCAATCGAGTTGTTTGCCTTGTAAGCGACTAATTCATTTTTCTCTCCCTCCCCCCAATGGCATGCACCTCCCTGTCTCCCTGCAGCCCTGGCCAATTCCAAGTCACGCAGCACGCACAGTTTGCATAACAATACATCGGTCATGGGAGGAGGAATCGGAGCAGGAGGAGTTGGAGCCGGGATGCTGGGCCAGCCGAATGGCAGCCACAACAACGCAAATGGAAATGGCAACGGCAACGAGCAGGGATTCTATCAGAATCTCAGCGTGTATCGGGCACAAAACCAGAGCCAGCCGGTTCTCAACGAAAGGTAATTAATTGATTTCATATATGCGGTTATGTGGGTATCGGGAAGAACAGTTTCTTAAACATTAATTTATTTTAATAACTGGGATAGTAATTTAAAAAAACATATGCTAAGCAACGTATTACTTTGATGCCTTGTTACACTTTCTGCAGAACCAATTTTATAGTTTCTCTGCTAGTCACTTGACCGCTGCTGTTTGTTTGTTTTGGCAGCGCATATGTATTCACTTTAAAATGTCATCTGAAATTCTATTGTATTCGGCTGACCACCAAAATCGCTTTTGCTGCAATTGTTTGGCTTGCCTTTATTACTGGCGTGTTTTTATGTGACCTTGTTTTGTAATCATTATTACCTGTGATTAAAATTATGGGAGGTTTAAAGTGGTGCACTGCGAAAGTTTAAAGATTTAAAATACATTTTCATTTAAATAAAATTAAATTCGGAAAGAACGAAAGAAGAAATGTTCCAACTCGCACTTATAAGGCTTAAAAAAAGCTTCAATTTTTAGCTGAATTAAATACAAGGGAATTAATGCTTTAAGTTCAAAGTACCTTACTTCAAAAATCCTGGCAATCAAAACGCACACTCCACAAAGCCGCCCGAACAAGGGAGTCGAATTAATAATTAACTGCGAATTTGAGTGTGTTTTTGGGGTGTGGCTCGAGGTCATGTGGCAGGTGCCAGGTGTGTGGCTGTGTGGGTGTGGCCACAGAAATATGTGTGGCGTTAGCTTACATTTTTCCAACTCTCGTGTGTGTAATTCTAGGGTGACATTGCGTTTAAAGAAATTGCTTTATGGCTTTATACCCATTAAGAAAGAGTATGAACTTGTGGAAGTGTCGCAAGTACGTGAGTAATTAGCCACTGTCGTTCCCCTCCTAATGTTGCTGCTGTACAGAGGCACGCACCTTTGCAATACTCACAAGGCACTTGTTCAGGAAGAGAAGAAGTGTTTTTGCAGCACTCGTCACGTTTTAGCCGAACAAAAAGTTATTCCTACACATTAACAGCAACCATTTTAACACCTTCGTCGATTTAACTGATCTGATTAAATGTCAATTGCTTTTGTTTTAGACCGCCGCTTGGCACACTTGCCGCCATGAACGCCTACAATGGCAGTTCCCCGCTTGCGCCGCAGCAACAACCACAGCAGCAACAACAACAGCAGCAGCAACCATCGCCCTACCAGCAACAGCAACATCTGCAGGGCAATGCTAATCTGCCGCCCACGCGTCCCGTTTCTGCCTATTACCACAGCCAGCAGTCGGCCCAGCAGCAACTCCAGCAGCAACAACAGCAGCAGCAACAGCAGCAGCAACAGCACTCCCTGCAGCAGCAACAGTTCGCCCTCAGCAGCAGCAATCTCAATGGCCAGCAGCAACAGCACCAGCTCACATTAAACAATCGCACGAAGAGCCAGCAAAACTTCCAGCACACCCTGCGCATGCAGCAGATGATGGCTCCCTCGATGCCCAACATCAGCAACATGTACCACCACCAGCAGCAGCAGCAGCAACAGCAACCGCTTCCCCTGCAGCAGCAGCAACAGCAGCAGCCGCCTCTGATGAGCAGCAGCCAGAGCATGCAGAATGTCAACGATTTCACAGGTGGCGGATATCAGAACGGCAGCCTGGAGTACAGACGCAGTCAGCTCCACGACCCAGCCGCCCTGTACGAGCTCCAGCAGCAACAGCAGCAGCAGTTGCAACAGCAACATCAGCAGCAACAGTCGCCTAATTTCATAGCCCTGCCTCCGAAGCCGTTGGGCAGCTTGCAGTCCCCGAATAAACCAAACGCGCCACCAAGCACGGCGCCCAAACCGCAGCAGCAGCAGCAACAGCAACAGCAGCGGTTCCTCGGGCAACAACAACAAATGCTGCCGGAGGACAAGCCTCCACTGCCGCCCACCGCTACGCATCCGCTGTACAAGGCCACGCAGCAGATCGCCCCGGGGATGAATTACGTGGCCAGCACTCTGGATCCGCCGAAGGGCAGCTACGTGCCGGCCAACCAGGCGAACAGCCGTCCCCTGCACGGCGGCACCAATCCCTGGGAGAGGGAGGAGCGCGAGAAGGACCTGGAGATGCGACGCGAGCACATTCGCCAGTGGCGGGAGCAGCAGATCTCGGAGCTCTCCCAGACCGCGTCCCGCTCCCCCATGCAGGAGGAGCAGCTGAAGACGCTGATCCTGGAGCGAGACTTCGAGCGGAGAGCCCAGGAGCTGCAGGAGCAGGAGGAGCAGGACCAGGAGCAGCAGTACGACAAGGAGAACGTGCAGGAGCTCTTCCGGCTGGCCGGCGGCGGTCAGGTCAGTGCCATTCAAACGCCCATCACCAGCTACAGGCAGACGGAGATCAAGATGGCGGAGATCACGGACAGCAGCAGTCCGGTGGACTCGGTTCCGGCTCCACAGCCACCGGCGCCGACTGCCCAGCCGCTGGGCAACAGCACGCAGCAGCCGAAGAGCATTCTGAAGCACAACCGCTACTCCGAGGGAGGAGTGGGTCCCAGTGGAGCTCCCTCGTCGCCCTCCAAGTCACAGAAATCGGCCAGTTTCGCGGATGAGCGGCACCTGCACACGGAGCACCCGATATCGAACCTGGCCAAGGAGCTCAACCAGCTCACCATGCTCGACAAGGACAACAACAACGAGACCTTGGAGGCAGTGGTTCCGCCGCCACCGCCGCCAGAGAGGAACAGTTCTTACCTGATCATGTCGCAGCAGAAGCTGCGCGCCAGCACTGGGAACACCAGCTCGTCCATGGGACTGCTCAAGACAGCGACAAGCAACCAGGCAGCAGCCGCCGTGGAGATCAAGAAGGCTTCGCTCCTGAACACCCAGAGCAGCAATAACAACAACCTGAGCGGCAGCCTGAACAACAACACGGTGCAGGGATCTCCGCTCAGCGCCATGGAACTGAACGCCGCCTATGTTTCGGCAACGGGCACGGGGATGGTGGGAGGACTGGGCACACCACCTCCGCCACCGCCGTTGCTGCAGAGGGACAACAAGCGGGTGAGCTTCCACGACGAGGAGAACAACTTCGTGGGCGGGAACAGCCAGCAGCAGCAGCCGCTGCAGCAGCAATACATCATGGACAACTACGGGATGGAGCATCAGGATTTGGACACCATCAGAGAAGATACCAGTGTAAGTGGTGATGAATTGATGATGAAATAGAAACCACCAGCTTACACAATTAACTTTACAGTATCTGCAGTTAAATCTTGATGCCTCCATGCTGCCATCGATGCCAGCCACTCCCGACGCTGCCCTCTGGAACACCTCAGTGCAGTCCACTCCCGGCGTGATTGGTGCGCAGGAGGTGTACAGGTGCGATCACTTATAGTCCACTCCTTTTGAAACCCCTGACTGAAACATTTAATCCCCCCACACAGAGATCCTCGCACGCGTCGCCTGGCGGAAAAGCAACAGCAGCAGCAGCAACAACGCGCCGGAGATGCGGTGCCCGAGAAGCTCTCGTTCAAGGAGAAGATGAAGATGTTTGCCCTGGAGTCGGGGGAGGACAACACGCCCAAGGACAAGCTGAAGATATCGCGGGCCCAGCGGGATATAGACGCGGTGCACTAAGGAGGAGAAGAGATCGTTGCTAAATGCCATGTACATACACACCCGAAACAAACAATGCTTACACTTCAATATACTGGGGGCCAAGTTGTTACGTTAGCTCTACACAACACACATAGATATTTAGATCAAGTTATATAGACCCGATATAGACCACACCTAACGAATTTGCTAAGCAAGGCAATAACAATCCACAGTTATCGCGTTTCAGAGTTAATTACCACACCCAAAATGTTAACTGAATTCAATTAGTGAGAATTGTCAGTGTATAGCATTATAGTCTATATATACCTGTGTTTATATATACAGAACTATAACGAACCGAAAGCGAGGCGAGCCACATTTGTAAAGCGTTTTAAACATTTAACATTTAATTAACCCTACGATTAACAATTTGTTACATCCGATTACAGCATACGTTTTATGGTTAAACAGCAGTGTAAATGAGCAGAGTTAGTTTAGATATAGTACATATACTTACCTGGGAACCGTGCGGAACAAGAAACATTTATATATATACTGTATCCATTAGAGAACTCCTAAGCCACAAAAACATTCAAACAAATGGTCCAATTATTCAATTATTAAAGCTATATTTACAAAACACGAACGAACGAATAATTAATTATTGAAATGTTCACATATATATTTTTAATTAACGCAACCTTTTTAAGCACATTTTGAATGCAAAAGCGGCATAACCAAATGGAAGCAAGTTGTTATTTGAGTATGCGTAGAAAAAGTACCAATTTAAATCAAACAGGATTTCACGATATGAGAACCTATGGCTTTAAAAAATAGACATGCACACCCACTTACTGGATGTCTGTGTATAAACTCTTTATTATAGCATAAAATTTATTCGAGAAACCGACCGACCACAAGGCGACAAATTATTTTTGTGCATTCCAAGTATTTCAAATCGAACCTAAATTCTAATTTATAAGACGCGATTTATTTCTATTAAGCAAATCTATTTTTAAATAAAACATAAAAAAGAAAACAAAAATATGCAATTGATGTACGAATAACTTCTGTAAAAAGAGATGCGTAAATTGTCGTTTAGTTTCACCTTAAGCGCGTTTAGGTTTAAATAATACAATTATATATATACTATATCAAAAAGCAAACAAATTCAGCAACGCAAATGTGCATATTTATGAAAAATAAAAAGTTAATTATACGAAAAGAAAATTTAATGTGTTTCATTTTAGCTAACACTTCCCTAATTATTTTCAATCAACACTCTTTTTGAAATTATTAGTTTTTTTTTTATTTTATTATTGTGCCTATGCAGACTGGTTATTCATAATTAAAAATACTTCAATAGACACGGAACAATGTTTGATGCTCAGTTGATCTATGTATTATATATATTTTTCTCCAACACAGTCATTAATTTATCATCATAATTTGTCATCGTATCATTCTTAAAACCATTTCACTTTATTTGCAGCTTTTAATTTTTTTAACGAACGCCGGAGAAAATGTATTGGATTGAAATTTTTTATGTAAATTCTCTTTTGAAAGAAACACAAATTTGTACGAACCTTTTTTCTTGGTACAGTTTTATGATTGTGGACAAATTTCTTGGCTAAGTTACCGGAAATCAGCTGTTTACTGGGAACAGCTTGGCATTCGCGCCCAAGATAATTTCAAAATCCAGGGCGTGCGCACTGGGCGAAATCTGGCAAACTGTTCCCGGGCATCAACAGGTTTGGGAATTGACCTACCTAAATACATTTTTCATGAGGCTGGCAAAAGGCGAGTTTTTGGACGTTGCTAAGACAGGAGACTCAAAAATTTAAATCAAACTTTGCGCAAAGCGAGAATTGCGGAAAAAGTTAAACAATGCCTTTAGTGAGTTATGCTCACACTTAAACAAAACCGACTGTGCTCGACCAAAGCTTTTGGTTTCATCGCTCAAATATTTGTGCCGGTTATATGCCAATTTAGCCGGCACACTGGGGAATCTTGCTACAATATATGTACGAGTATTCTGCTTTGACAGGAATAACCAAACAATTTTCAGACCAGCCATGTTCCCTTCATCTTCGTGAAAATATGTAATATGAATCTTTGATCCTTCTCTTTAAAAATAAAATTTATACTTGAAGCAAAAGATTGACTTTATGTTTCTTTTGTAAAGTGCAAGCCTCATTTGTATATTTAAGGTTCATTTATAATTGTCAAATAATTTAAAAGGTCCCTTAAAGGTTTAGGCATAATGGAATTCACTTTAGTGGCAGAAAAAATTATTACTATAACAGCAAGAGTGATTTCTAAAAACTAGAAACGGGTAGGACAAAAATGTATTTATAAAACCATATGTCTTTGTAGTATATATATGCTAAGTCCAAAACTTGTATTCATTAAAGGATTCTTAGCCAGCATTTTGGACACGTTAAGTTTTATTACAATTTATTTTGGAGTTATTTATTAAAAACGTTGTATGCGATTTTCTTTCGTGCTGTTTTTAGCCACATTGACACGCATTTTCTTTTAAGTTGCCGAGCTCGGAGAGTTGCAGGCCAAGTTTTAATGCCCCACCATGTAATTCAAAAGTCAACCGGCAAACTTTAACCTCTTCTTGCTGCAAACGGGAATCTCAGAGGCCAGGACTTGAAATCAGGAGTCCTTGCCTGCCGGCAAGGTGAATTGCCGATATAAAGGCGTGGGTTTTCTTAAAGCGCCTCCGAGGGTTTTCCCTCTTTTGGCGTCGCGTGCGCGGACCAAATTTATTTTTCAATAGTTTGCCATGTGAATTATTAAAATGCGCCAATCTCTTTGATAAAGCCACCACCTCAGGGGGACGGACTGGCCCATAATCATTTGGCTGAGCGGAATGAACTTTAAGAAATTGTTGACAGTTGCCTGCGAGGCATTCGGATCGGATTGCCAGCCGCGGAATTTTTCAATATGCGCGAAAGCTAATCCCCCCAGTCGCCCGATCTGCTGCTGTCAATATCCTCCAGCTGGCGGTCGCCATGCCGCAAAGGCAGCAGGGAAAACTGCAGGAAAGCTGCCCCACTGCCACTGCCGCAGCCGCAGAGCGAAAAGAAAAATATGAACTGTGGGCAAAAGTTTCGGGATGCGGCGGCTACGGCTACGACTATGGCGAATAAATCAAAAAGTGATTAGCCGGGCTCCGCAGCCCTTCGCCTTCCTTTCTCACGCCATCTGTCCAGTTGTAAATTGTCTGTTGAGTGGCCGAGAGGAGCAGGGCCAGGAGCATAGACCAAGGTGTGCCAAGCTGAAAATGTGGGCCAACTTTGTTGGTGGTGCTGGTGGTGGTGGGGGGAGCTCAAACTTGGCCATAAAACTTTCGCCGCATCTTGGCCACGGCTGCTAAGGTTCTCTTCTCTGGTCAGTGGCGGTTTGATAAATGAGCAGCGTAAAGTGCGCGGGCAATCAGAAAAATCGCACAAAATTATAGTTGGCCAGGCCATAAAACAATGGCCAAGGCGAAACAATGGCCAAGACAATGGTAGTTTTTCTCAATTCTTCTTTCTTATTTGGTTTTACTTTTGCGTGCCGGCTTAGTGGATGCCTCGCTTCTGCTTCGTCTTTCCCTGAGTTATGACAGGTTTTTGTGTTTGCATTTTAAAATATACAGATAAATTAACAGCGGGGCAGCAGGACTGCGAAGGGGTGAATTCTATTTAAATGAGTGGGGATTGGGGTTAAGATGCTAGGCTTGGGTAGAGGGAGGGGTGAGAGCATTAGGCAGGAATTTAGCAGCGCAATATATAAAGTTGTAGCAGTGCTGGGTTCGACATCAAATAAAAACTGACGGTGAGTGCTCGAAACAATAGAGAATTCTTTATTATCCTTGTCCTTCAAACCACTCAATAAAAGGCAGGATAAATTAAGTTTTTACATTAGACGCCTTAGGCTTTATTTACGCAGATAACAAATAAACATTCGATACTCGAAATTTGATGCTTACTGTAATTCTTAGAGAACTAGGTCTAACTGCTAGAAGAAAGAAAACAATTTTAAGTCTAGAATTTGTATAAAAAGGATCTCTATATTCGGAAACTTGGACTAAGACTCCAAGAAGTGTCAGCGGAACAAACAATGCGATCTTTAAGTGAGTGCAATTTACCTAATTAAACCTTAAATTAAACTAATGCCTTAGACGAAACACCGTTCGGATGATAATTCCAGCGCTCTCCATGAAAGGACATCCATGAGGACCACTCATGTCTTGTTCAGGGCCACGAGGAGGAAGATTAGCCACTGGTGGAGACTGCTGTATCCGTGACCCAGTCTATGGAGGCCGGCAGCTGTTGACTTTATTGCAGAAGCCGAGTATTCCCCTGAAAAAAAATGTTACTCAATTTATTAAAACTTTCACTATTTTCCTAATTACTTAAACTTTATTTTCTGTCAGTATATCAGAGAGCTGTAGCTGAAAACTTTTGAGTATTTTTATAATGCAAAACCAACGCTATATTTCTGTCTTAAAGAGACAATTTTAGTCACTAACCATCAATTGCCTTTGGTTATTTGTTTATTACTATCTTCCTCAAATTTATTTATTGTTTATAAATCAATGCTTAAATATTATATTATTTATAATATTAAAAAGGGAATTTTTCACACCTGGTGATTTGAAAGTTGAACTGGAATAAATTTTCCTCACTTACCGCTTAGGACATGCAATTGCATGGAAACTGCCTCGCTGTTTTCCGGCTCACACGTGTAGTTGCCGGAGTGGATTTTGCGCACGAGCGGAATGACCAGTGATCCAATCTGCAAAATCGAAATTCGTGAGGAGTCCTCCCAAGACCGCCACTTCCACCCTGCTCACCGTGTTCCGATTGTGCTCGGTGCTGCCGAAGATGTTCCTGTCAATCTGGGTGAACCAGCCGCTCTGGGCTCCGCTGGCCTCGTTCTCGGCGGTCACCTGTTGGTCTCCGCGGTACCAGAAGATGTATTTGGGGGCCTCCAGAGTGCCACGTACGATGCAGTGCAGCTCCACCTTGCTGCCGGCCTTCACAAAGCGCTGCCGATCGCCGATCAGCTCGGTTCGGGGTGCTAAGGGTTTTCAACCGAAGTTATATATTGTCTTTATAATACTTTTTGTACTTTTTGTTTTTTTTTTTTAATTGGAAACCTTATTTAAAGTGCTTTGATCGAAACTTTAATAGATCTTTAAATTTAATTTATGTACCTGAAAATAGTCTGCAGAACTTTGGAATCTCAGGGGTTAGTGGTCTCTACTAGACAACTTTTAGCAAATAAATTAAGCTCGACTTCCTTCAAGGAAGATTTACGGTTGTTTTCATTTAAATACATAATTGAATTTTTGCTATATTGCACTGAAAACGTATATCTGGGAAATATCTGGGTAAACCAAAGTAAGGAAAGACCTTGAATCTAATTTCCGCACTTGAGTGCATAAGTGCTTAAAACCCAAATGGTTTGGATGCAAAGCAAAGGGATGGCTTGGAGTTTGGATGCACTATACCTGCACAGTAAAAAACTTACTTAGTAAGTTAGTTTGATTCATTATTATAAATTGCACATATTATTCGAATTTAAAATCATCAGTTTTTCATTTCACCTTTTTAAATAAGAAATTGTTTAACTACATTCCAGAATTATAAAAAATATTTCCGACTTAAAACATAGGTACATTTTTTACTTTCTGTGTAGGACAATTTGTCGGTTAGCAGTCGTTTCACTTACTTATCACAAACAGCTGCACCTTGGCGCTCATTTTGGGCTCCGTTGCCAGCTGGCACTCGTACCAGCCGGCGTCCTCCAGCTTCACGTACTTGATTTGCAGCGTCCAGCTGAGGCTGCTGCTGTTGCTGTTGCCTCGCTCCAGACCCCCAGTCCCTCCTCCGTGGGCGGAGCTGTTTCCCGGGGCAGCCGAGGGGGCCGCCGAGGTGGAGAGGGCACCTCCTGGCGGAGTCGTTGTCGATGCCGTCGACTGGAGCAGGGATGCAAAGCGGGCATCGTTGATGAAGGTTGTGTGATCCACCGCAATGATATGTTCATCTCGCAAGCGCACCCAGGAGAGCGGTTTCCCGGAGTGCTGGTTGAGCTGTGGGTGGAAAAACGAATGAGTAATCCTTCTGCTAAGTCTTAACCGAGCTGTACAGTGTAGAAAGTAGATTAACTAATTGTATAAAACAAATAAGTTGGGGGGAGTAATGAATCTTGTGGTATATCTTATTTTTGCAATGTTTATGAATATTATTCATATTATTATAAAGCTCTACCTTTAAGGTTCTAAGTTAGAGTAAGGCAACAAAATATTTTTACCTTTAAAATCAAAAATAAATATTATTAAATGACCAAAGTACGTAGTTATTTACTAAATCTCCAATTTTTTAAGTATTGAATAGCAGTTCTGTGCAGCTTATTCATGAAGTTATTACTAAACTTTTTTTAAAAAATTAAGAAATCAATGGTATTAAAATAGTTGGCGACTGATTTTTAGGCATAAATCCTTAAGTCCTTAGCCATTTTTTAAACAAAAGCAAAAGGAAAATATGATCTAACGGACAGTCTAAACCTAAAGCCTTCCCCCTGACCATTTTACAAGCTCTAATCAAATTTATATAATTTTGTACCTGGGATGAAATACCTTTAAAAAATATAAAAATATGTATTTAAAACTCAAGAGCACAAATTGTAGATGGGATTACTCCATCTGAGAAACCCTGGTCACCACTCACCTTGCAGGGCAGATAGGCGTGCTGGCCAGCTTGGACGGTGGCGTTTAGCGGGGGCAGGCTGAGCTGCCGGCGGGGCATGAGCTCCCGCTCCTTGGCCAACTCCTTTTCGCGGCGCAGCTGCTGGGCCTTCTGCTCGCTGTCGTAGGCGTGGAGCCGGGGCTGCTCGTTGGAGGCCACAGGACTGATGGACGAGTGGTTGTACTGGGGATGCGCGGCTCTGGAAGTGGCATTCCGCAGCAGGTGCGGCAAGTCGGCGGGGATGAATTCGGGGAAGGGCGGCAAGTACGTGGGGATCGAGAATCCTTTCGTCAACGTGGCGGTGTCGGGTCTGTCGCTCCAGGAATCCCCCGCCGTGGTGTCCGCCTCCTCCGGCTGGCCATCACTTAGCATCAGGACGGCGGGTCCTGTTGATCCTGTGTCCATAGCCATTGCGGTTGTCCCCGTCGTCGGCGGGGTAATTAGCGAGGCGTTCTCCACCGGAGTGGCCGAGGCTGCCAGCGCTGCAAAATAGGTCAAGAATGTTGGGCAGCACATCAGTTGGCGATCCTTATTGAAGTTTTCACTGCACAAATAATTATTTCAGGCTCTGTCAAACTGACAAACGAAAAAGTCGCAGCTGTCAGTTGCGGGTTGGAAAACGTCAAGGGGAAAATGTGGCAGTGTAAATACTCTTTCTGCTTCGGAAATGATTTTTTATGATGCACAACACTTAAAACTTTAAACAAAATTGATTCCAAACAAAAACACTAAAAACTGACTTTAAAAATTAAATTCTTTATAAATTATAAATGTCCGTTAATCTATTTTAGGGAAAGGATTGTTGCAAATAAGCCCAATTATATTGAACTCTGTAAATCTATTAAAATTATGTATGTAAGTAAAATTATGTATGTTGCCCATATAGTATAATTAAATTTTAAACACCATTTACCAAAGAGTTTTTACTAGATTAGAGTGCATCCCAACGCAATACAAAGGGTAAACTGTTTTGCATTTGACGAAACAAAAAACTGATTGTTTATCTCCCACCATAAAATTGAGCGCATTAGCCAAAGCTTTTTGTCTATTAATTGACAAAATTCGAATTATTTTAGAAATTTTATACATTTTTCAGCAGCATATTGCAATGCATCATGGAAAATGCAAATTTATTTGCTCAGGGCATTTGGTTCGATTGCTTTTCGGGTCAAGTGTTTGGGGAATCGTGGGTGTCGCATCAGCTTTTTCCGGGACGCAGAACAATCTCGCAATTGATGGGCCATAATTTCGTGTGAATTTATATTTTGTCACAGCAGCTGCAATATTCTGGGCATCGAGGAATGGGGCTCAGGCGGTAATCATCAAAGGGGAAATTATGAAAAACTGAATTCAATTTATGGAATAATTTTTGGTGTCAACGAAATTAATGGTATTTAGAGAGGTTGAAGGGTGATTTTGGAAAAAGTGCTGATATAGAAATAATCGGATCAAATTAGCCCGAAGCTAAAATCTGCATAATCATTCTCTCTTATTAACATAAAGTCTATATACTTTAATTTCTGGGATAGTAACTTTTCAATGGGTAGATGGAATTAATGAAAAAAGACTATGCTTAAGGAAAGCATAGATAATGACAAAACTTGTTATTACAAATAGATGTAACGCTCTTGTGTAATGGTAATTTTTTATTGCTTAAATTTTGGAAATTTTAATAAAGATAATGTCACTGCGAGGCAATTCTAATAAAGCTTTTGCGTTTTATAACAACAAGGAGATATGGTAATGTGGAAAAGAACACACTTTAAAATGAAATTCCCGAAACGGCAGCTGCGCCCGGAAGCGAAGCACTTCGGGTTCCCCCAGCAAAGCAGTCCTTGCAAGATGTGCCACTTCTCAGGACTCCGGACTCCGGACAGACCGGAACGATTACTCAGAGCGGCTCTGGCCGTTTGTTATCACTGCCACGAGTGTCAGTCTGCGACGCCGAGAGAAATCACTTTGCTTGTAAGTGGGCTTTGCGGCTTGGCGCAGGAATCCCGGGACATGGCGGTGACCCAGTCGGTTGTCCACTGGCTCCAAGGGGCGGAGGACCTGGGCGAGGAGCTCGCCCGCCGGAGCCGCCCAGTCCTGCCCTCCGTGGCCCGCCTCTGCCTGGTGGCCACCTTCTTCGAGGACGCCCTGCGCCTGTGGTTCCAGTGGGCGGAGCAGCTGGCCCTCCTGCAGGACCACCACCAGTGCTCCACCGCCCTTGCGGTGGCCATGGTCCTGCTCAGCCTGGTGGGGCAGCTGGCGGGCTGTGCCCTGGTCCTGCTGCACCTCTACACTAATTTTGCGGTCACCCTGCTGGCCAGCCTGGTGCTGCTTCAGGTAAATCATAGAATTGTGGGCTCCCCTAACAACATCTAACATCTGACTTAATTATACCCTTGCAGAGGGTGATATATATGAAATTATATATAATTTCCAACCTAAAAATCTCTTTTACACTGATATAGGCTCACATATACGAAGTTCCGCTGGAGCTGCATTTGCTGCTCCGGACCATCTCCCTACTTGGGGGCTTACTGCTCCTCCATGTGGAAGATAAGGAGGCCACGGCTTGCCGGATCTACAGAACCAGTGCTGGACTGCCCTTCCTTGAGAGCCGGCGATCCCAGCACCTGATGCAGCTCACCGGAAGGGTTCTGCTGGCCCTGATGTATTTGACCCTGTTCCAGCAGTACTTCACCATGGCAGCCATGGCTTTAAACTGCTTCGGCCTAGTCCTGATGGCTTTCATCGTGATGGGCTATCGCACCCGTCTGGCTGCTCTGTGCCTTTCCCTGATTTTGACAGTGTGGAATGTGGCCACAAACGCCTGGTGGTCAGCCGATGAGGACACCATGGACCTGCTCAAGTACAATTACTTTCATACACTGTCGGTTGTGGGTGGCCTACTCTTGGTGGTGGTCCTCGGTCCAGGAAATGTGTCGGTCGAGCAGTACAAAAAACGCTGGTAGCCCTTTGTGAAGTAAAGTAATTTAATAATAATAAATACTAATAAATACATCCAAACATCGAAAATTTATGTAAACCTTTTTTGGTTATTTTTACTACCCTTTTCAAGTCTTTGTCCTGTAGGACATTAAATCGCACTTTAATTATTTCTTACTAAGAGTGACTTGAGTATGTATTTTTTGGAAAGATATCTTGCTTTTCAAATTTGTATAAAACCATTAAAGAATGCCTGTTTTAATTTTGTTTGGTGTTAACTATAATCCCCGTCAGGATTATCCCACAAATTTGACAACACACTGTACTTGACTCCAACTGCGAGATGTTATGAAACCATGGTGCTAGCTGGCCGAACTGGTCAGTATTTCGCGTCCTTATTCTGATCCAATCAAGCTTTGAGCTCGCGGCCACATTGCAATTTTATTAGAGCATAAAATCCCGCAGATGGGCCAGAAATTACCGAGTCATGCCCCCCACATTATACATTCAGCACTGGCTGAGGACATTTGGTCCATCCTCCCATCCTCCCACACACCACACAAAACCCAACACCACCCCCAGCCACCCACTGCCGCCCACTTTTGGCGTCGCCCCCCCCCCCGTTCCGCTGTCTCGCCTCGGGCGGCAAATTTACGCGCAGCACAACAAATAACAACTAAGTATTTATTATGTAAATAATATTATGCCAAATGCCCACACAGAGCGAGTCTCTGAGGCGGAGGACTACGAGTACAGCAGAGTTTCCGCCCAAGTTTACATTTTTATTAAACGCTTCGCTCGAGAACAATTCGCAGAATAGTTTTCCACTTTCCACTCTCGAGTTGCACAGCTGCAGGCAGTTTCCTCCTCTAAGTAGCTGATGTACTTGGCTTTAAGTAACTTCATTTTTGCAAACTTCCGGCCCATGGGCCAGTGCATGAATAAGATTCGACTCAAGTTTAAACTCGGGTTATGGGAATTTTTAGAGAGATATGTGCGTCTATTTTACTATTACTATTTACAGTAACAATGTGTATCTATATAAACGTTAACTGTAAGAACAATTGAATTTAATGATTTTTTTAAAAACATTTTTAACATAAACTTGCAGAAAGGATGGCATCCGTTTTCGGACAAATACTTAATCAAAATAAAACTGAACTAGAAACTATATTTAAATATTATACCGAGCCGTTGATTAGTTTTTAAAATAAGAACGTTTATTACGTTTATTGGTTTAGGAGCATACAAAATTGAATTCTTAGCCTGAAAATATTTTTATTTATTGTTTTTATTTTATTTATTTTTATTATGTAAAAATGTTTACTTATAGTTACATTTAACTAAAGATATCCCGCCTTCAAACCTTATATTAATTTTCCTGATTTTTTATTTTAGCTCAAGAAATTTATCCCAATAGAAACACTACTCTATTTAAATGTTTTAGAATTATTTTTAGAAAGAATAATAATTAAAGCGGGTTTTATGTTATGTATAAAAACTTGGATATGGACTAAATACAACAGTTGCTGGGTACCAAAGGATCCATAACCGACTTAGAAACAGCTTTAAACTTTATTCCCTTGTGAGGATTTCAATTTTTGTTTTGCAGCCAGCATATCTGTGTAATTAAAAACTATTTGCCCACAAAAGTTTATAAAAACAGAAACCGACAACAACTGGAGGTACAACAAGTGCAAGAACAACACCGATAAATGAGAGCTACCACGGGTGGGTTTGTTGTGCGGTAATTAGTGTAACTGTTCAGTAAACCACATAAACTGATTTCGGTTTTGGGCCTGGCCATTTAACTGCCCGGCCATCCTTTCCGGCGCTCGTCACACAGTTTGGGCAAATAATTGAAATCATTTAAGGGGTCTTGAATTATTACTTTGTTAATGTTATTGTTTGCCGTCGCATTGTTAGGGCCATAAATTTAAAATTTCCACTCAAACGGTTGAGCAATGATTGGTGCAAACTTTCCGGGTTTTGGGACCCAGGACACCGAGTATAGAAGCCCCCAAAATGGAGCAGCAGCAGCAGCTATAACATAATAATTCAAGTGGGGACTTTTGGCGTGGGGCTGCTGGTGGAAACTTTATCTTTGTCGTGGGTTCTGTCAGGGAATTTCGCGCGAATTTCGTATTCATTCGAGTGCAAAGTTGAAAAAGGCCAAACCCAGTCGGAGGGAGGGGTCGTGTCTAATCGGACTGCCGCCATGAGATGATGCATGGATTATATCGTTTGGAAACTGAACATCCATTGCGACACTGCAGGAATTAAAACCAAATGTTGCGGGACTTAACATTTCAGGGATTAGGCATGAACATTTAACACGATTTGCCAAACAATTCGGCTAGTCGAACATTCAAATTTAAAGCCTTTGTTGCTGTGTTCGAGCTCTTTCAACTGTTCTTTGGTTTTCGTTTATCGCTTTTTTTTTTTTAATATGAACAGTTTTGAATTGTGTGTGATCCAGTGCAATATCTTAAACTAAGAGACCCAGTTGCAACACACCCACAAAATAGAAAAATACAGTATTTTTAGATGAGGCCATTTAATTTTCCATTTAAATCAAATGTTGCAGGACATAAAAACCATTGACAAACATTGTGTACAATTTCAGCAAGTTCAGCATTAAAATTTAAAGGTTTTGTTGTGGTTTACCTGTTCTAAATGTTCTTTAATTGTCAAGAAGTAATATTGACATCATTTTAAATTGTGTGAGAAATAGTGCAATATCTACATCTTAAAGACTATGCAGCAAAACTCATCACTTATTATCATCACTCATTTGAAAAAAAGTGATAAAAACATATATCTATGTAGGAATTTAAGCCAAAAGTTGTGGGACTTCACATTTCAGGGATTAGGCATGACTATTTAACGCGCTTTGGCGAAAATAGTGTACAATTTCGGCTTAAATTTAAAGCTATTGTTGCTCTGTTCGAGCAGTTTTAATGTTTTTTATTGTTCCAATACATATTGTTTTGGTTATATTGTTTAAACTTTAAAGCAATAAAAGCACAATTCGGAATTGTGTGTGAAAAAGCATAAATAAAATTCTAAAAGACTATTCAGCGAAACACATTCCAAAAAGATGGGAAAAAGTGGCTTTGAATGTTAATTCAGTATTTTTAGATGAGACTATAAAATTGTCCAATTTGTTAGGATTTACCAACTTGCACGGCTAAACTAATTTGGGAAAATGTTTGACCAGGCAGGGGAACATTGGCAGGGGAACTCCTCCAAGTCCGAGCCAAATTCGCTCTCCGCAATGCCATTTACGATCTTTGCTTTGTGCCATCATCTGTCCTCCTGCCAACCCGTCCAATGCCCCTCCCCCTCCCCCTTTGCTTCACAGGTAACACCCAATTACAACTGGTTAACATTGCTTTCGGGATTGGTTAACCCGATTAGCTGGTGCACTGCTGCCAGGACCCCATTAAGTTGGCTCAAACATAAAGTTCGGGAAAATGGCCAGGCGGAATTGGGGGGAATGCGGGGGGCATGTGTGCTCGGGGAAGTTGGTCTAATTAAGCGCCGTTCTGGACAGGCTAACAAGCAAGTTAAACACACACAGACCCATTTAATTCGTTTGCGCGATTTCTTTTATTATTAATTACATGCGGTACACATAAATTTCACTTTGCTTCTTGTTTTTGGCAACTTTTTCGTTATTTATGCGCTCGCTGATAAACCGAAACTCGTCCAACTGGAAAAATGGCGATCCTAAAGCAAATATGGGTCTCGCACACCCAAAAGCTTTCGAGGTTAGATTTGATATGTTGTATATGCTGGGTGCCACTTGAGCTGAATGGGGGCATCTGTCTACCGGAGGTATTCAACGTGGGATTTGTATTCATTAAATTGTGGGTGGGCGGAAATATGTTTTTTTTTTCGGCACGTGGAGGCGCACTACATGTTTTCCGCAAGAATTCACAAATAATTTCATTACAAAAGAAGATTTTATGGAGTTATAACATCCCTCTCTCTTAAATTATAAATTCAAACTGACATTCAGGTATCTCGTGGTAACTTTGAGTTATTTTAACATTTTTTTTGGTGTCCTTAGAGACCATTTAGTTTAAGTTTAGTTCAAGACACATAAAAGAAATTAAAAGCAAAAGTTGATAACGTTCCCCGAGTGTATACTAATATAAAAATATAAATATATAAAAGCTCAATTGTTGTTCACTTTCAAATGCTGACTGTTTTTTCTTTGGATACCTTCACCCACATTTAAATTACAACTGGAGGGCTAAAAGCGATCCAACTTCTTGACTATGTCGGCGGCAGGGGGAGCACCCTCCTCCGGACTCCTGAAGTCGGGCAGATAGTTGACGGAGCGCGAGAAGTTCATGGAAACCGTGCCGACCGGCTGGCGCCACGTGTTCGCCTCGTGCGGCTCCAGTTCCTTCACCTGCAGCCAGCGGCTAAACAGCCTCCGATCCTTGGGGGACCACGTGGAGAGCTCTGCGCGCAGCCTCGTGGACTGGCAGAAGGTGAAGAGCAGAGGCTCGAGGACGGGCTGGTGCTGCCTCAGGTTGAGAAGGCGCCGCAGCAGGGGCCCCCCTCCCGCTCCTGGCAGTCAAACAGGTCCAGCCTCCTCAGCATCGGATGAGACGCTATGAAGCTGTTCAGCCTGACCATGGTGCACCGCCGGAAGCTGACCCGCTGGCAGCTCAGGGGCAGCGGGGGTCCGGTCACCTCGGCCAGCTTGCAGTTGCTCAGCCGCAGCTCCGTGAGGGCCGTGCAGTGGTTCAGCTTCAGATGGGAGAGGTCCAGGGGAGTCACCAGCCAGGAGCCGTCGAAGCTGAGGGTCTGCAGGGCGTAGCACTTGGCCTGGACGATGGCCAGCACGGTGGGCAGCCAGTCCATTCCCGGCCACAGCTTCTGGCGATGCAGTGTGAGGTGGGTCAGCTTGGTCAGACAGACGATGGCCATGGGCGTCTTGATCTCCAGCGGCAGCAGCAGCACCTTCAGCAGGCGGCAGAGTCCTATGTTCTGGATGTCGTACACGATGCTCTCCCCCCTCCTGCCGCACAAGGTGAGCAGTTCCAGCTGCGGACAGTTCTGGAACAGTTTATCCAAAACTTCCTGGGGCACGTTTCCCAGCGAGAGTCTGCGCAGCTGCTGCAGCACTGGCAGAGGACCAGGGCAACCGAAGATCAACTGGTTGGACGGCAGCTGACGGGGTGACTCCTCTTTCAGTATGACAAGTTTACTGTCCTGGGTTTCGATCGACTGCAAGGAGTCCATCCTCGGAAAAAGATGATTCCAGACCAAAGCGATGACGAACCTCAACCAAAATTAAAGAGTGTAATAGTCGAAGGGTTGTGAGTCGTGAAGCTCTTTAAAATATGTTCTCCAACCCTTCCCAACTACATTGTAAGTTCTCCAGCCCTTCAGGGCTACCGAACTCAACGCGGTGAGCCCGCTATATATACAGCTTCTAATTTCTTATTGACAAAGTTTATTAAGATCGGTAGTTGAGATTTATACGATACGAAATTCTTTTTATCTTTGCTGTTGCCTTTCAAATAGCTTTATGCTTGATAGCTAGTAAATGGTTAAATTAAATGGCGGACTTGGAACTAGATTATACTTGGATCGATAACAAAGCGATCAATTTTTTAAGATTGTTGATTGTTGAAAGATCTAAATCTTTAATCTCTGAACAAACAAAAAGGATACTGAATTCTGTCATATTTTGAAGCGCAAACCAATTTTATTCGTCTTTTCCTGTATCGATTTCGTTCTTAGTTTAATATTTACTGAACAAACTTCTGAAAATCAACGAAAATTTATATACAAACGGCAACATTTTATGCATGCTATAGTCGAGGTAATGATTCTGGTTTGAAAAATAACTAAAGATATTAACAATAGCTAAAACGACTAAGTATTAAAATACTTTTATCCCCCTATTTAGAAAAATTTGACAAATGTCATTCCATAGTTAAATGTCACTCAGCTGACGTCATGCATCATTTGAACGTTCCGATGTTAATCGCCTTTGATTTATTGCGAACTTTAAAGGTTCTCCTTTGGTGCCCTGGAGCCAGTGTCCGTTAAAGATAAAACGGCACGATTTCTTTCATGAAATTAAATCTGAAAAAAAAGGGTGGGACCTCTGGCTTTTTACGCTCGCCTGACCTAATGTCATTTTAATTTCCATGTGTGTACTCACGCCCGAGGCGCCACCAGATAACCCCTTCTGCGCCGTCTTCCTGCGCGGGAGTCGAAAGTGTCACTGGCTTTGTGGTAGTCTGACAGTTGAAAAATGAAACGCCGGACCGGCCATGATGTGGCCACAAAAACGGGCTCCATATGAGGCTCCTTGCCTCGGTCTCCCTGGCCTCCTTGGCGCCTCGGGGGTGGTGGCCATTGGTATTTATGTGCCCAAATAAAGCCGAAAACAGGGGGCTGGGCGGGGGTGGTCAAGAACTAGGCAGGAGCCCTTCGGACCAGGCCAAAATCATTCAGCCAAAAGCCGCACACGCTTGTCGCATGTTGAGCCGCATTAATTAGAGGGCATAACTTGTCATTTATTGGTTCGCAGCATTCGGCAAATACTAGCAACTTCCCCGCGGTTCCCCCGCTGTCAATTCAGGATCAAAACATGCATAATCGAACAGTTCGAATGGTTGTCACACGCACCCTTGGCAAAGGTACACTGCGAGAAACTGCAGTAACTATTGTAATCACTAGATCACTAGAAATTGCATTTAAAATTCACCATTGCCTAAAAAATCAGTATTCGAATTTTATTCAAGCTTTTGCAAATATATTACAAAAGGTGAGGTAAGTGAGTAAATTATTGTACCAAAAGAGTTACAATTGTTCCGTGAATTTTACTTAATAAATACATTTTATAATCAGGCGAAAGCAACATTTCACTTTTGAAAAGCGGACCAACTGATTTTCATCTGTGTAGAGACTGTTAACATGGGCGTCGCCAGGAGAGGGGAGGGGCAGCAGGGACTTAGGCCAATGGAGCCCGGACAGGGATTCCGGCCCCTGTGAAGCATTTCTCATTGTTGCGAGAGAAATTCACAAGCCGCAACCATTTGCATTCCCCACACAGCCTCCCTCCCCTCGCATTCCATTCCCCTAAGAAACTCTTCACATGGCCCGAAGCTGTTGGCAAGACCGAGCAGAGAAGTAAAAATGGAATCATAAATTCCGGCTCCTGCATTCCCATTCCCATTCCCAGTCCATCTCCCTGCTCCATGCTCCATGCCTCCCGTCCGGATCCGACCTACATCAGCAGCCGTCGCACATTTTATCAATGGTTGCACGTTTTGTTGTGGTTACCCTTCAACTCCGAGTGGTCACGTGGACTCCGTCATGATCTTGGCCCGATAACAGCTGATTCCTGACGAGGGTGAAGGCCTGTGATGGATTGATGCTGGCTTTTTGAATATTCCACAGAACATCTTGCAGTCAATGAAAATGACTTGATATCTTCGTAACTCCTTTCGATATAAATGACTGTGTTTAATGAAACAAAAATGTATTTATTTTGGATGTATTTTTCAATCAAATCGAGGCCTTTTTGGCTAACGAATCAGAAACACAAATTTTGAATAGGGCTAACACCGTAAATACCTTCAATCAAAATTTATTTAATTTGGAAATACACTTAAGTGGAACTAAATAATTGTTGCTGGCTCTAAAAGGTTTAATAATTTTTAGTACTACAGTTCTTGACGTATTTCTAAGAATTATTACCTTTATCTTTACCTTTGTATTTATTCTCAGGAACAAAATATTGGCTTATAACATGAGGTCCTGACTCAGGGCATTGGGTAGTCACATATCGACCTATTTGTTTGCAATACCCCAACCTTATTTCATGTTTTCCTTTTGTTAAGTCCAAATTGACGACAGTGGGCCGAGTTCGACTTCTGTGGCATTCTGCCCTCGCACACAGCAATTACACCGCTTAAGTGCTGGAGCGCGGGGGAGTGGCCGCCGGTGGGCGGTGGGTGGAGCAGGAGGACACGCCCATTTAGCACTCGACTGGCTTCGATTGCTTTAAAGCATTTCCCCGCCCCGGTTTTTCGCAGCCTTTGCTTTCGTGCCTCCTGCTTCCTGATTGACGATTGTTGTCTTTCGCATTGATGTGATGACTGCCGTTGTTATTGCTCACAATTTACACACATGAATAAACAAATTCATAACAACAGTCACCGCGGGGCGGTTTTGTTAGGCTAAATATTGATGTCGGGCTCATTACGGACCGATGCGAAAACGTGGCCCAAACATCCTTGTGTGTGTCCATTAGGGGACAAATACTCTATATGTAGTGCCTGGTTACAGCACTCGTCCAAAGCCCAATTTATTGTCTCAGTAAATACACGAATTAAGTGGGGAGTGTGGGGAGATATACTACCATCGAAATGGTTATCATGAGCTCTTTTACGACGATCATAATTGGGAGAAACTCTAAGTAACGAGTTTCGATGGCTCTTCCCACAATCCAAATGAAAAACGATGCTTACTATTTTGGGGTAAAATTTAGATGGTTTTTATTGCATTTAGCTGTGCTGGATGGGATTTGTCCATTTAAGTAGGTTACAAATTGAATTTAAATGATTTTTTAAGGGCAAACGTTGCACTATGAATGTCTAATCTTTCCTATTCTTATTTAAAAATTGTAATTGTGTACCAGAAACACGTCATCGTTCATTAGCACAGCGAACTTTTAAATTTTTTTGGCTACAAAAAGAAGTTGAAATTTAAAAAGAACAAATGCTTTATTAGCTATATATATATATAGCTTAAGTTCTCCACTCGACGATTATAAGCCAAAATATTCAGAACCCATAAATGTCAATAAAGAACTTTTTCATGCAAAAACATATGGCCTCCATGTGAAAACTTGGAAGACAATCCAGAGTTAATTAATTAGGGCCACGGGCTATTTATTAGTCTGAAGTATCGCCCTGCCTCCGAATTGAGTAAGCTAGAATTTATTCAGGGAGTACCGAGTTCGGGAATTATTTTGTGATTCCTGAGCTGGAGCGTGAAATTTATGGCCTCTCAACGAATTCGGCTAATGGCTGTATTAGCGACGCCAACTCTTTGGCTCCACTTAGCGCAGTTATTTAATTAAAGCCCGGTCTCCCGGTCCTTCGGCCCCTTCGGCCACGCCCATAGCAGCACCGCCCATAGCAGGAGTCCCTATTTCATCCGCTTGCCCCGCCAACGGTTATGTGTTTTGGCCATAAATAAATTAAACGTGACATTTGACCGCCATTTGTCTTGGGAGCCGTTCTATGGTAAATACAGTATCCCCTGTATAAAACATAGTTGAATTCTTCGCCCGCTCCTGTTTTGTATGCGGTCCATGGTCGTGGCATAATTAACAGAAACGGACATGGGCGTGGCACTGCCTTTGACCTTGGCTAGTGCGCTGATTGATGGCTTAAGTGTTATTTGAGTGTCTACTTATTTCTGTTCTCGCTTTGTCCCATTGTTTTCCACAAACTTTGGCTGTTTTTGCCGCTGCCCGATTTAATTACATCACATATGAGTGCGGACATGGGGACGGGGACGTGTGTTGTTAATGATATTGCCTTGGCACTGCCAGCAGTTCGGCTGAGATTGATTAGATCTGGCAGCTGGGGCGGGCAGATAGCGCCAAACAAGATGATAAATATTATTCGGCAATTATTCGGCCGCAAGAACTTTAAGCGCCTTTGGAACCGAACAACTGAAGGCCAAGTTTTGTCAGCAAATACTCAGTCCGGCGAAATGCATAAATAAACAAGTGTGCCCGGAATATTCGGGGCTTGCCATTAAAGTGAAATTAATTCAAGGCTGGAGTTCACTCATGCCCAATCGGAAAACTCTCGTTATTTATTCAATCCCAACTTGCGAAAATTGCTCAGAGATTACGGAAAAACCTGTAATTGTACCGAACTATCAAATAGACGACTTGACGAAAGCAATATGCACAGACAGCTCGACCGGTTGTTCTTTCCCAGGGGGAGAACAATCACAATCACATCACGCATCCGACCTGTTGAACAGCCAGCCACCGCACCCCATTCGCACACCCTTTGCACGCACGAAATTTAATCAACTCGAGATTCACAAACAGAGTTGGCTGCCGGGCCTGCTGCTCCAATTAGGCTGAGCTAGAAATATGCCAGGCATTTTCATAAACTACTCGAAGAGCGGAGGGCAAACATCGGCAAAGAGCGGGCCAAAATCTTCGCACGCTGCGTATGCGTAATGAGTTTCTGGCATCGAAGTGCTGGAGGATTTCCTGTCCTCCGGGTGACAGGTGTCTGACAATCATATGGGCGCGTGTGTGCGCTTGACTAAATGAAAATTTGCACTGCACGATTAAATTAACTCGACAAGCTTATAAAAATCGTGCCAACGAGTTGCCAACGACAATGCAGCCAAGCAAATCTCATCATGTAAATTAAATTTGGCAAACGCTTCACTCGACACTTGCACAGCACAAAAATGTGCGAAATTGAATTAACTATGCATGCAAAAACAAAGCTTAGCGCCCGGCACACACACTTGGCAGTACAGTACAGTACAGAACAGAACTGAACAGCAGGCACATGGCACATGGGGCAGGCAACTCAACTCGACTCCACAGAACAAAACAGTACGAAAAGAGCGGCGCACGTAGCCAAAAAGTTGGCCAGGGGTGTTGGGATTTCGCATTCGCCATGTACATGGGACAGATTCGCAGGGTGAATCTGGAGGTCCCTGGGGCGTTCCTGGAAGCGTTTTTCCCGCGGACTCGTGTGCCAAAGGGATCAAGAGATTCCTGGGTAGTTGCATGCGCTACTGGGTGGCTTTCGGGTAAAAATCCAGAGTTGGAAAACTCCGATTGCGAGTGTTAAACTGTTAACGCCGCCTCCAGAGTTGGAAAACTCCGATTGCGAGTGTTAAACTGTTAACGCCGCCTACGGAGTTGCGATTCGTGCGGAAATTCGAAACAAATTTTCGTAAATTAATGAAAAAGAGAGGGTACCTCTCTAAAGTTGTTTTTTTTTTTTGTTTCTGAAAACCCAGTGCATTTTTTAAGCTTTGAAATCGGATATAAAACTTGTTATCTTATGCTCCATTTAACGTCAATTCAAACTTACTTTAGTTTTATTAATACATATTGACGATAAAATTTATTAAAAATAAAATTTATTCATACCTACGAGTCGTATGAATAAATGTTATTCTTAATCGTTTAGTATGTTGAAATCTAAGCGATTCTCGCTCCTAAGTGTAGAGGATATCGTTGTAGTTTGGTGATATATAAAATGAAGAATTAAATATAAAAAAAAAAACAAATTTAAATTATAAACATAGGTAAGTACGTACTTATAACAAATATGCAAATAATTATCTTATTAAAAATGTTTTCCACTTCGCAGTAGAGTGCGTAGTGGAATCGGCGGTGAGCTGGGGTGTATAGTAAGCCGGATTTTCGTATCACCCTAAGTAAAAGAAGTTAACACTTACGCGCTCGCATGCCACGAAAGCTGACAGCTGCCAGGAATGCCAACAGAATGCTGGCAGCTCCGGGGCTCCTCCCGGCCAGGACGCCAGTGCCTCCCGCGCAGCGCTCCCGCTCCCGCTCCCTCTCTGTCTCCCGCCAGGACATCCTGCTCGGCGAGGGCATCTGTCGGATGTCGCACCTGGGCGGGAACTTGGATTGGTTTGGGACTTGCCCGGATTCGTATTTATTCCTCTCGCAGCTAGTTAATCCGAGTTTCGCCAGCCAAGTAGCATGTCATTCTGGTCGCGCTGCGTGCTGTTTGCTCCTGCGCTCTTATTTAATTATTTGCATTGCTTTTATGAAGTCTTCTCGCCTGAATTTGCATACCACATTTCCCGCAGAGGAAGGGGTTGTACTACCGCGGACGTGACTGTCTCTCTCCGGGACTTTTCTTTTGTTTTTGTTTTTACTTCACCGAGTCAGACCGCAGAGAACGTATGTTTTAACTTATTTCTTGCTTTATTTGGCCAGGCCAACCGCAGCAGCCAGACTAGAGAGGCGAAAATATAAGTTTGGTCCGAGGCAGTGAGGAAACCACCAAGGATGCTGTTAGCATTCTATTTATGTGATAAATGGATATTTATCTGGCTCTGCCTCTGGGCATAAGTTTCGGCCCGGCTTGATTATAAGTCAATAAATTAATGAATTGCATGGTCCTCCTCTTCCACTCTCCATTAGTTCCGCTTCCTCCACTTCTGCTGACTTTGGCAAATTTTTAATGGCTTCCTCTTTTTTTTTTGTTGCCAGAAAAGTCGGTTTGCCCGCAAAACTGTGTCGTCTCCTCCGAATGAATGCCAGAGCCTTATTTATCCGGCTCAGAGCTGGTAAATCGAAGCCCCCACATAGCAAAAAATGGGTAATCCTAATGCATTATTGCACTCCGAAATGTGGGCCAGTCGAAAGGATGTTTGCTGATGCGGACTTACGTGTAATTAGGAAAGCTAAGCAGCAAATTGATATTTATTTTTTGAGCGAGAAAAGAAACCTCTAAGCTTTTCAGGTATTTTAAATGCTCTTAATGAACGACACGCGATCGTATGGCTGGCTTATAAAAAATGTGGTTAAAGGATTGGAATAATACTATAATATTCCGTACTGAAGACTTCAGGCTTAACTAAATCTTTAAAAACGTTAGAATATTATACGAACAATCTCATAAAAATGTATATTTTTTTGTAATTTTTTCAATGCCTAAACATAATTTCTTGAAGCAAATATATAAAAATGGCTTGATATGCATTGGAATACCTTTTTTTTAAATTCAAAGCTTAAGGTTCTTAAAATTTTAAAAGTGCCGTACACTTAATTCTTTGTTCAATTTGTTATTGAATTATATACAAAATCATAAACGTAAGGTGATACCAAGCGTTCTTGGTCGTTTATAATGTTCGAGGCTTTCCGAGTTCCTAGAATTATTCCCCCATCTCTACCACCTTTGCCATTTAATCTGGACTAAAACGATATAGACTCTATTGTGAGCTTAGTGTCCTCGGTAAAGGAACTTCCAAAGAAATACTTGATAGTGGTTGATGCCTCACTTTTGTCGAAATTCCCCCAATTAATAAACGTTACTCGACTGTGGGGATATGTGATACTTTTGTTGACTTTCCCTGCGTTGCCAAGCACAAAATCCTTTTTCGTTTTCGTTGGTTTATCGAGTTTTTTTTTTAGAACTGCTATCCAATGTCTTGGCCAAGTCTGGCACCTGATTCAACGCCTTTATTGATTCGCCAGCTTCATTGTTTGCTGCAGCTTCCCACGGCTTGTTTTTCGCCTTTTGCCTGTCTAATGATACCGAAGACCTGGGGATTTGGCGTCTTTGCACATTAATGAGTTTTAAAGTCTGTGTGGAAGAGCACGATTCCTGAGTCGCTGAGCCTGCTCCTAATCTGATTACGTTTACATATATTACATCATATGCTCATCAATATAGTCAAATTGAAATAGATGGGGACCAAACAATAGCACGTGCCACCTTGCGGGGAAGGTGGATAGAGGGGGGGGATAGGGGGTAAGGGGTTCGGGCCAGGTCACATCTTTCACTCCATTCACATCAGTCAAATCCTTCACGTTCTCCTGCGTCCTTTTTTCATTTTTCACGTTTCGTGGATAGACGACGACGCAATCAACGTTTGACGGCGTTTGACTTTCGATCTTGCCTGGCTGCCTGCCTTTGTATCTGTATCCGTTCTAATGCGCAGCAATTTAAAATGTGATTTTCTTGATTTATAAAGGACACATTGCACTCACAGTCGTATCTCACGGGATTTCACATTTCGCACATTTCGGAAAATGGGCGGCATTCTTGCACTCCACTCCACTCCACTCCTCAGCACTTCACATTACTTTATCGGAGGGCGGGGGCGGGAACGGTCACGCCCACATTCCAGCTGGCACACATTCGCACAAACAAAGAACGGTGCCCCGATGAATCAGATTGAGAATCAGGATCTGATTTTAAGCTGGGGATGCCAAGTGCATTCACTTTCGAAGCATCCAAGCTTGCGCCCGCGAAACGATTCAAACTTGTGCCTCCTTTTTGGGCTTTTCAAATCGCGCGCTTCTTTTTCCGCTCGACGTCCGCCGCCGTGCCATGCAAATTTCAAACTGAATCCAGAGCATTTCGCGATTCGCAGTGTGCGTGTGCCAAATGGTCCAATTTATTTCACATGATTCTTCCCCTTTGTTTCACAATGTTTCGTCCTTTGCATTCGGTTCGTCCCGATGTTCTGGTGTTCCAACTTCCCCTTTCGTCCGTTCCAAATCGTCTCCTGTAGTTTTACGCCCGTTTCGTTTCTAAATCATCCCCTCTTAGAGTCACATTTCCATTGTTCCTCTTCCCCGTTTCGTTTTGGGCGAGGACACGGATGACAATGTGAACAGTGGAACAGGGGTGTTCCCCGACTGTTCTCAGTCTGCTGTAAGCGGACCCTGTTAACCGTTTCGAATCAACAGGCAGTTAAAACCAGTATTTACTGTCTTGGCACAAGGAATACACAAAACATGAAAACAATAAATGTCCACATTGAATCATAAAAAGAGATCGAATAAAAATTAATTGTTCTCATAAACAGCCACGGAAGGAAACAAATTTGTATTGTAAAAATTGTATTACATACATATGTTACGTGTTACTTCTCAAAGGTTAATTGTTTAACTGGTTTATGCTGGTGACAGTCAGCATTTTCTTCGCAGAAGTGAAACCATTGACCTGCCTTACAAGGACTTTTATTTTATTAAGACTTTTTAGTGAACAAAACAAAATTCCTTCAATAAAGCCGCATTTTACTGTTACTAATCGGTGATTCTCTATTGACTAAGGACTGATGAAAATGTTGTAATTATTTGTATTCCCGAAATTTCCACACAATTGCGTAAATTTTTCCTATGGATTCCTTAGAGCGTTTTGATATTTGTTCACGGCATTGAGGGTCAGAAATGGGTATAATTACAACATCGATGTCATAAAAAATTGCAACAAAATCATTTTATTTTTTGACCAAAATTAAGTTAACAACTTGTTACGTATTTTTCACGTTTTTTAACATGTTATGTATTCGATTACTTATTGTTTGAAATAAAATGGAATTTCTGTTTATTTGCGAGTGAAGTTTGTTAAGAAAACTTACAGATTACCCAAATTAATTAGTTTAATTGCAGCTTTGAAGCCTGTTTCGAATATTGTTCATCCTTTCGATGAAGTTAGTCGAGACGTTGAGCCAGAAATCTTAGGTCCCTGAGAAGCCGTTTAACATAATTCAGAATATTATTTATCCATCCTGTTTTAAAATAAAGCAATCGCTTCTTAGCTTTCTTTCAGCTCGCATTGTTCATTGCACAATCGTTTTGGGGCGTAATCTTTAACTGATATCCTTTGAGCAATCTTGGACTGGTTCCGTCCGACTCTTTGCATATTAAATTCGCATTTATTTCCGCCATTCCGCAACTCAATTGCACTGCCTGCCGAACAAACAAAGCCTTCGCCTCTCATTTCTCCCCAGCTGCAGTTATTATGTTTCGCAGTGTCGGTAGGCAAAAGGTAATAAGAAACAAGTAACGACCAAATAATTGAGTGCACGCTGCACAAAGGATCCTCGCGTGGCGACGGGAAGGATGTTTTTGTGATACATTTCCCCCTGCCCCCGACTTCCACCTTTTGCCATTGTTTTCCTACGGTCGAGCTAAAAGTGAAATGCATGTTTTATTGGCATCGCAAAACAAAAGCAGAAACGGCAGACGGCAGACGGAGAAACTTAAGCCAGCAAAAAGATTTTGCATACCCTCGCAGGAGGTAAGGCCAATTAACTGGCCAATAAAATACGTCTCTTGCCATAAATCAATACTCATATGAAGGCGTTCTTTACTGCTCCTTGCTGCACTCATTTATCAGTATTTGGGTAAAAATATGTTCGCTTATAATTGCATTTTAAGTCGGGACTTTTTGATTCCTTATTGTAATGTTCCTTAAATAATATTTAAGTGAGATTTTTACAATATTATATATTTATTTAAGTGATAGGATCGTAATGCGTAGCTTAGCTACCTATTTTTACCTATTTAATCCGAGGAGCAAAGCGTTCTGTGCAGGGATAAACCCTCAAAACGCAAAGAGCATCCAGTGCAGCAACAATCGAAAAGTTTTGCCAAAGCGATTTTCATATTACAAGGTAGACACAATGACTCAATGGGTGCTTAACCGAGGCACTGGCAGAAGTCATTAAAAAATAAAGCCCCTAAGAGGCATCCAATTGAAAGGAGCAACTGTGCAGCGTCCTCTTCTTCTTCCCCTTCCGAATGATATATGGACTATATGTCTGGATCGTGTTCTGTTTGATTGTCGGCTGCTCATCCTCAGTCAGTCAGTCAGTGACTCACTTTCCAACGACCTGCGCCGTCATTAAAAACAGTTTAAATAGGGCGCGTTGCACGCTGCGTATACGCAATGTTCTGAGCCGTTGCCTTTTATGACAGTCATACGAGCCAGTCGGTTGCCGGTTGCTGGCTGATCCTTCCGCCCGTCTGTGGCACCTGCACAGTTGAGCTGGCCAAACGACAGAGCACTCGCATTTAATTTAAACAATTGGAGCCGTGCAATAGCCATAACTTTTGATGAGGCTGCTGCACAAATTTTGTATGCAAATTTAATTAAAACTCCTGACTTTGCTCATAGTTTATCATCAGCAGCAGCAGCAAGGCCAAAGCTCCCAGAACTTTTCGAACACTCCATATTTACTTGGAAATGCCCATCAATGATTACTTGACTCAACAAGGGATGCGCATTCCAATTGCTGTTTTTGACCCCAAAGGATTGTTGCCCAAACAATTATAAGAAATTAATTTCTGAAAAAGGCCCCAAAATACCTAATAAATCCCGAGGCTGGCCTGAAAATGGATTCATCTTAAATTTTGCGTTCTTCAACAAAGGCCAAGTTTAGGTATAGGCTGCTGCATTTATTTTGATTTTCTGAGTGCCATTTTGCACGCCGTCCAGAGTTTTTGAAGGCATTTCTTTCGGCTTTATTGTTTGGCTTTCTCGTGGCCTAGCAGTTGATAAAGAGTTTGTTGCTGTCATTGTTTTTATGCGAATTTTGGTTTATTTGATTTACTGGCAAGGAACGAGCTCCGGTTGAACTTTGTTTTCATTTCTTTTTTTAGCAGGCAGACATGCGTCGAAATACAATCATTTTCATGGTAGTGACAGTGCGCGTCGAAATGTTATTTAAATCCAATTCTAAAATGGAATTGTTCTTTTTAATGTGACTTTTTGGTGTTCAATTAACTGTAAGCTGAATGTTAAAACAAATAATCGCTTAATATTTAGATTTACTTACGTAGTAAAATACAGTACTGTCAGAGCAGAAATAAAAGTTATTGATCAACGAACAGTAACTAAAGTTAGTTGGGCAGTGTTTTAGACAGTAGTATAAATAAACTTTATATATTTTTGGTGTTCTAGGATATCTATTGAACGCCGAAATATAAGTTACTGTTTATTTTCACCAAGTTTGCATTGCCTTAAATGCATTTTTGTAACGCCCTTATGCCGAGCAGACGCCGCTAAATGTTTGCTCCGAGCAACGCCTTTGCATTTCAAATTTCCATGGCTCGGAGTTTTGTTTTATTTAGGGTTTGCTGGCTGGGGCTGGCTGCAGTACAAAATGCCGATTCCGATGCCGCGATGCTGGGTGAAATGTTGTGCAAACACAATCAAGTGGTAAAATGAGTAGACAATGGCTGGCGAAGATGGCAAGAGGAGCTGTCAGGAGCCAAGGGGAGCAGGGAGGCAGAGGGGCAGGAGCTCCAAACGACTCGGGACTACTTTGGAACTGTCGATACAGCCGGGCTCTCGAAACTGTATCCCGAATCCAGCATCCTTTCCACTCCACTCCTTACCACTCCTTTCCTTTCTCGGTGCTCGAGCCCGTGCTGCGGGCGTATAAATTGAATTGTGTGAAAATTTATATTTGTTTTGGCATTTTATGACACACTCCAGCGTGTTGCGGTGGCCAGATTTCCTCTACCCTTCCCTTTTTTAGCCAGTCTCCTGTTTCTGTTTCTGTTTCGGCTGCCGACTGTATCTGATTTGGAGAGTGCTTTGCTTTGAGCAGCCCTTAGAATACACCCGAAAATTGATTAAAGGTGCGATGTCTGATGCCGAATTTAAAATAGTGAGCCCCACTCAACAAAAAAAAGGGTTTAAGTACAGGAAACGCTTAAATTCTATGATACATCAATAAAAAATTGGTGTAAAGTATTTGTTTCATACAGGGTTTTTGCTGATCAAAGAGATTGTATATTCCATTCGGTTATTTGAAGAACAACATTTGTTGAAAACTTATTTAAATTTTAAATATGGTAAAGAGCATGATTGAAGGAATGCACATTTTTATGAACATTTGTTGGACTCAAAGTCGGATAAGTATTTCTGCGGCTTTTCTGCGAGTGCACTTGCCAATCAAATGCTGCGGAAATTGTGGCGAACTCTTAAAGTCTGCTGATTGGGTTGGTCTGTGTCAGGTTTGTTCCAACACAAAGCCCTTCGAGCAGACACCGAGTTGCCTGTTTCGACTTGGGTGGGATGGGGTGCAATAAATTCGCCCGAGCCACCTCTGCCCCCCCCTTTACCACCTCCCCATCCCCATTCCCATCCCCTCCCCCTTCGCTGCTGCCTGGTGAGGCTTGAATATTATGGCCATTTGCGGCAGGGCCAGGCACTAAGTGAGTTGTGGCCAAGTGGTGAGCGTCGAGCTGCTAAATCATACATACCGCAGATGAACGAACAGTCAGTTTCATGTAACATGTGTAGTGAGCATACTATAGGTGAGCCCATAACATATATTATATTATATAGTGTGCATTAAGTTGTGTTGTTCTCGGTTGGGGTTTGTTGTTTAGAGCTCTGCTTCGCCCAGTTTACAGGGGCTTTGGCACAAATGGGCTGATTATCTATGGAAACCCCTTCTCGAATGGCATGCGTATGAAATCCCCGAATTCACGGAAATCTCTTTGAATGCTCCACTGGGAGGGGACGAGGCCACTCAAAGGGCTTTCAATGCCTGTTTGCTCGCCCCCAAACC